GGGGAATTAGCTTTCTGCTCAAGTAGGTTGGTGGTAAAGCTAAAGCCGTACTCGTGGTTAAGGGCTTCAGGCTTAGGGTTGAGGGTCTTAGGGTTGGAGCTTAGGGTCAAGGGGTCTACGCTCAGGGTTTGAGTTTTGTCGAAATCTCTTGGTACGGGGTCCTACTATGAAAAGGCACCACTGAGCGTGGCCTCGTTGGAGTTGGAGGAGACAGTACATGGACACAGCACGGCAACCAGCCTCGGAATGCGACACGTAACATCTGCCCTATGCCCACGGCCAGTCTGAGGACGCCACAGTATCAAAGCGGGCTTCCAGAATCCTGAGGCAGACTCTCTGCAAGCGACGCCGGGGGTGGAGAGCTTTGTTTCTTCAGCCACCTGAACGAGCGGCACGCGTCCCATGTCCCCAAAGACGGCGCTGCATCGGTAAGGACCAAAGGTGAGGCTCGGAAGTACCAAAGTATGGTGGACAAGCTCACTACAAGCTCAAACTCCCTAGACCTAGTCGTGCACGCTTGGGGACACTGGAGTCCAAGGGCTTTCACAGAGCACAAGTCTTTGAAGTCTTAAGTCTTAAGCATGCTTCAAAATTGGCTGTCGCCGCAGCCCTGAGCAGTCCTCGTTTGAGGGACAGCTTGAGCAGACCAAGCAGCATCCAGCGCTAGAGACTCCAGGTCTCTGAGGGTCTAAGGCCAGCTGCGTGAGGAGACCCAATGCAACGTTGTACATTCAGGGCTACATAAATCCTGAACCCCCACACCCCAAACCCTAAACCATCCTAAACCCCAAACCCTGCACCGCTGCCCCTTTTTTTGCCTCTCAGGCTTTTCGAGGACTTCACGGCCGAGCCCTCGAGGCAAAGCCCGAGATCGCCTGCAGCAGGGAGCCCTCCTTTGGGCTCCGTTTGATGCCAACAAAAGATACCTAAAGATGCCCCGAAGATGACAAAGAGAGAGAGAGAGAGAGAGAGAGAGAGAGCAAAGTACAGAATATCGTTTCACGTAGTGTACATATATATATATATATGTATGTATATAATTGTATATAATTGTATATAATTGTATATAATTGTATATAATTGTATATAACTGTATATAATTGTATATAACTGTATATAATTGTAAATAATTGTATATAATTGTAAATAATTGTGTGCATTTGTACATGTCTTCTGTTTGTAGCGTATACACAAATACATATATATATATATATATATATATATGTATGTATACATATACCTACTCTGCATGATTATGATATACCCAGACGTAAGCCCAGACCCAAAATACGCCCGGAGACGTGCAGATGACTCATCTGCCTGAACTCTTCGGATGGCCTGAGGAGCCTCCTGGACGCTGTGTTTCGACAGCTGTGCCGCCTGCCTGGGCGATTGACGCATTGTCCTTTCGAGTTGGTGGTTGTAAGGTCAGGGCTTAGGCTTCAGGGCTGTGGGTTTCTGTGAGGCGCTTTCTGCGCCTCCTACAGTATGCGACTTGGAGAAAGACACCATCTGCCGCGCAACATGTTGGTAGAAAGGGATCTTGCTGGTGGAATTGGGGGCATTTCTGCTCTCAAGCGAGTCTACATCGGTCTGCAAGCTCCGATCGGCACAGGCCGGGACGGCCCAGGAAATAGGCTGCTCCCTGGCAAGGTTTAGGGTTTAGGGTTTAGGGTTTAGGGTTTAGGGTTTAGGGTTTAGGGTTTAGGGTTTAGGGTTTAGGGTTTAGGGTTTAGGGTTTAGGGTTTAGGGCTTAGGGCTTAGGGTTTAGGGTTTAGGGTTTAGGGTTTAGGGTTTAGGGTTCTTTATCTTGCACCGTGCACCAAGTCATCCGGCGTCAGCCAGTAGAACCTTCAACCGGAACATTGTGCAGCCCATCTCGTCATTCTTTAGCTGTTCACGGTGGATAGCTCTGAATTCCAGACGACTCCACTCAAGGTGCAGAAGAGAAGATTACAACATTTTTGGGGCCTCAATCAGGGAGCCTTTTTTGTAATGAAACGAAATGTCGTTGACAAGGTTCCTGTAAAGGGACCCTCATTATTCAAATTAAGAACACACACACACACACACACACACACCCACCCCTCTGGGCCTCCCAGTCGACATCGCCCAAGCCCGTCCGCTGGGTTTCTTTCGACGGGTCAGGTACGTGCGACCTGCCATGCGGAGCTGCTTGAAGCAGACATCCCTGGCGCTTGTGACGTAGCTTACACACAGGGCAACTCACACTGCAGAGCCGCTAAGCAGCAGAATCGCCACAAGAAGATGTGCTTCCGCACGATGTCCACTCCATTCAGAGTCATCACTTCTTTGTACTCTCGAGCTATGAGAATTGGACCTCGAGGTGCATCATTCGACGGCGTAAGTCTCAGATCCCGCGAAGTACAGAAATCGGCGGACCTGACACGGCAACGGAATCTAGAAGTACTTATACGTGTATGTACATGTTACATGTATAAGCAGGACCGAAGAACATATGTGTAACATATGCCAATGTTGTGTCACAGGCCGCCACATGGTCGGAGTTGGCCCTGGCAAGGCCTACGCGCAACAGGACATGTCAAGAATGCCAGCAAGCCAATACTCCATTCAAAGCAAATCCCAGCAACAACGCCTGCGTGCCGGTGATCAGGAAAACTGCATCAGCCGGCCCAGTCCTCCGACATCTGAACACGCGGCGGCACCGCATGACAGTGATCGGATCGTGTCAGATCCAACGCTGCGTCCTCGATACATCAAGCGGAGGTGGCCGCCCCGCAGCTCCGGTCCCCTTCCAGGCATACGGCATACACATCGACATACGGAGACAGCCGGCCGCACTGTAGAAACCCCCGAACAGGGGACCCCAAAAAATGCGGACTCCGACAAAGGCACCACCACCACGTGGCACAAGACTAGCGACCGCAGGAAGATTCACCTAAGAGGTGTGGTTCACGTCTCTCTTCCACTCCACGAAACGAAGACGAAGACCGCAAAGTCCTGCAAATCCGCTCCAGCCTTGGAAGAGGCTTCGGCCTTTCTTCGCCTGTTGAAGCGCGGGCACTCGCGTGCTTGTTGATCTAGATGCCTCCGACTACTACTGGGCAAGACGAAGTAGGAGGCAAAGAAGCCTCTGCGGCGGCTTGGACATGTTCAGCACCTCCGGAGAAGGAATGTGCCCCATCGGGTCGACTCACACGGACTCTTGCAAGCTGCTCCAAAGACTTAGAATGAGTTCAGCAGTTGCTGCGTGGAGCGTACACCCTCCAAAAATCTGCCAAGAAGCTCACCCTCTTCAAACCCCTAAAACTTGAAAACCTTGAAGCCCAAGGCTCCCAACAGGCCGCAACCAACCTCCCAAACCTCCTCCCAAAACTTCGAAACGCCCCCCCCCCCCCCCCCCGCCATCAAACAAGAAACCCCACAAGAAACCCCCCAAGAAACTCCACAAGAAACCCCACAAGAAACGACAAGAAACGCCACGAAAACCTAAACCCTAAACCCCAAACCCCCAAAGCCCCCAAACCCGGCCTGTAGCTCGAGGCGGCCGGGGCGCTCTGCGAGGCCTCGCCGGCCCAGACACTCCTCCCAGGCCTCGGGGGAGACAAGCTGCGATCCTTGGAATCTTAGGGCTTAGGGCTTAGGGTTTAGGGTTTAGGGTCTAGGGTCTAGGGTGTAGGGTTCAGGGTTCAGGGTTCAGGGTTTAGGGTTTCGCAAGGGTTCAGGGTGTAGCGCCTTATGATTCCTATGATTCACAGGAACCACAGAGGAGCCAGCAGCTTCGCCATCGAGAGGGAAGAGCTCGTCGGCCTTCGCTACTGAAAGGGGCCCATTGAGACAACAGCTTAGGGTTTAGGGTTTAGGGTTCAGGGTTCAGGGTTTAGAGTTTAGGGTTTATTTAGGGTTTAGGGTTTAGGGTTTAGGGTTTAGGGTTTAGGGTTTAGGGTTTAGGGTTTAGGGTTTAGGGTTTAGGGTTTAGGGTTTAGGGTTTAGGGTTTAGGGTTTAGGGTTTAGGGTTTAGGGGTTTAGGGTTTCGTGTTTAGGGTTTAGGGTTTAGGGTTTAGGGTTTAGGGTTTCGGGTTTAGGGTTTAGGGTTTAGGGTTTAGGGTTTAGGGTTTAGGGTTTAGGGTTTAGGGTTTAGGGTTTAGGGTTTAGGGTTTAGGGTTTAGGGTTTAGGGTTTAGGGTTTAGGGTTTAGGGCAGCTGGGGGGCCAAAATGCTCTTCAAACTAAGGGATTTGCTCTGCAGGCGCTGGAATTCGGGATTGGGCCCATCGAACAAGAACCCTTGTAGCTAAGGCACATCCTGGGATGGATCACAAAAGGCTCTTTCTTGCAGAATGGACTCGACAGTATGGGCAGATGCTTGGTAGCTTTGAAGGTGCTGAGCAAGCAGAGAAGCCATGGACGTAGTAGCAGCACCACTGCCAGCTGACAACACTTAGAGTTACACGAGCTGTGGCGATGGGTGTGTGGGTGTGGTGAGAGATGCTTTCTAATATGCTGAGAGATTCTACTCTCTCATGTCTACACTCTTTTCGCCGAGGCCTCGAGTGCCTTATGCAGCTGTGCCAGCTATGCACTGGCCAGTTTCTGACGATGCCCTCTTCGCGTGAATTTCGGTGCGAGGTCTGAGGTCTCTCTGCACCCTGACATAGTGTGACATGCATGTATACTCATGACCGATTGGGGTTGCAAAGACGTCTCCGTCCTACTCATGGCTGTTGCACTTGGACTGGATGCAAACAGAGTTCCTCCCTGTTCCTCCCTGTTCGCACAGCTCTCTCTTGTAGACGTTAGCGTCATCAGACGTAAACCGGAGCAGAATAGCAGGAGCACAGTTGTGCGAGAAAGGGAAGCAGAACTGATGAGACGACAGAACCCGAATGATGGGGGGGCAACAGCGTTAGACAACGATCTGCCTCCCGCCAGCAGAGCTGCAGCGGCGGCCTCAGAGTGGTCCCGAATGGTGCACCAAGGCCCCGACAAGGGAAACATTCCTACATCATCATACACCCACTTAAGGGATCGCGACTCCAATAATTGGCCACGAGATGTCAGACTATGTCTCGAAGGCTGCGCGGCTTGCAAGGGGGCCCTAGGAAACCGATAGGCACAGCGCTAATCGTCACATTCCCCACAAACAAACAAACTCCCGGAGCCCAGCGCAATTTTGGCTTTCCAAGGCTGCGACGCTTTCTTTGGCAGCCGAAAGCGGACAGCGACCTGATGGCTAGGTGAGCATGGTGAGATGGAACGCGCAGACCGGCAGGATCTGCCGGCGCCTGCTGGACGAGAGCCTTGAAGCCTGAAGAGAAGGGCAAGATGTCTCAAGATGCTCCCGAAATGGAGCATATATGGCTCAGAAAACATGTAGGCCCCCCACTCACGCGCAGGGGCAAGAGGAAGAAGCGGACCGCGGTGTCCCAAACCACACGAACCTCACGTTTCAAGTTGTGCACCCTCGGTCCCACCATGGATAATAATAATCATCATCATCATAAAATAATAGTAATAACAATAGTAGCAATAACAATAATAGTAAGAAGAAGAAGAATCATAAGAAGAAGAACAATGATAATAGTAGTACTAATAATAATCATCATCACCACCATCATCATCATCATCATGTTAAAAACGATAACAATAACAATAAAACTCCCTTCTTGTTGTAGTAATACTATGTACAGTAATAATCGGTATATTTGTTATAGGAATAATCCTGTGCGCCCCAGTCTGGGTCCGCTGCGCTCAGCATTCGCCGCACACTGGCCAGCCGCTCTTCGGCTGCGCCCGTGTCGACTCCGAGCCTGAGCCCAGTACTCTCTTTTAGGGTTTAGGGTTTAGGGTTTAGGGTTTAGGGTTTAGGGTTTAGGGTTTAGGGTAAGTACCCAGAAGTGGTCGGAGGGGTTGCGCAGTTGAGTATTCCGATTCCTGACGGGTGGTACCAAGATGGAATGAAGTGAAAGCGCCCAGCGTTGTCGCAACTTCGATCGCCTCTTCTGCAGAGTCCACGGAAGTCTCGCTGCGTAGATCCTCACTGAGCAAGGAGGAAACCAACGCGCTAAGAAAGATTCGAGAATGCTCGTTGTCAGGGCCGCAGCTCTGGTGGTAGCCAGAGATGCCAAATCTGGGCCATCCTTTCAGGAAAGCTTTCTCCTCGACATGTCACTATGTACCCGGAGCCTGCCTCCGAGTTCGCATCCTCAGACATCAACCTGCCAGTGTCGCAGGGCATCGAGCAGAAAAGTCATGGTCCTGCTGCTTGTGCTTGCAGAGGCATGTGACTTCTAGCCGTTGGTCTGCAACCACTTGCTTTGTTGCAGTCAGGGTCTCCCCCGTGGTAAGCCGAACCATCTTCAAGCTCTTGAACATGAACTCTCGTCTTTCCCTCCAGATTGAGTCTGAAAGGAAAGTAGGAAGCAGAAGTAAATACCAGTTCCTGCATCTTCTCAGGAACTCCGGGGTTGAGGGCAGGCCAACCCTCCCTTTTTGAGCACGCGGCCCATCAAGCAGGACTGTCGCACCCTCGCGCATGGCACCTAGGCGGACCTGCAGCAACGTAGAGCAGAACTCTTACTTTGGGATGTTCCCCCTTATGGTAACAGTCCTTGATAGGGATTATTATAGGGGGTAGTACTATAAATCCCTACTAAGGCCTCTAAGTCTAAGGGGGAACATCCCAACTCTTACTGGAAAAGAGCTGTCGAGGCTGCAAGGACCCTGCCGTGCCTCGATCTCTTCGGCCAGTGACGCCAACGCCGGGGCATCCACGACTCGGCTCCCAGCAAATGCAGTCCCGGGCACTTCAAGCAATGCAGCTGTTCACTCTCAAAAGTCAGAAGACTCTCACAATCTCACATTCCAGAACGAGTAACCCTTCAAGAACCCTCCCATTCTCAGGCGAACGCGGCCTTGGCCAGGGCTTGCCACAGCCGCCTACTTCTGCATGCAGCATAGAAGTCCCCTAGCCTAGGTGGAGCCCGCAAACAACACCGAAGTCCACATCTCAGGAACGTGGGCACCTAGTCCAGCGCAGAAAGGCCGTTGCATCACAACAAGTGCTAGTTGCGAGAGAAAAAGACAAAAGAGAAAGAGAGAGAGAGATAGAAAAAAAAAAGATAAAGAAAAACAAAAAATATATAGAAAAAGAAATCAAGAAAGAGAAAGAGAAGTAGAAAGACACAGAGACAGAGGAAGAGAAAGAGAAAGAGAAAGGGAAAGAGGAAGAGATAGAGAGAGATAGAGATAGAGATAGAGATAGAGACAGAGAGAGATGGAGACGGAGACAGAGACAGAGACAGAGACGGAGACAGAGACAGAGACAGAGACAGAGATAGAGACAGAGACAGAGACAGAGACAGAGACAGAGACAGAGACAGAGATAGAGATAGAGATAGAGGTAGAGGTAGAGATAGAGATGGAGATAGAGATAGAGAAAGAGAGTAGAGAGAATGAGAAGAGAGATAGAGAAGAGACAAATATATAGAAAAAGATAAGAAAAAGAGAACAGATAAAGAGGAGAGAGAAAAGAAGAGAAAAAGAGAGGAGGGAAAGAGATGAGAGAGAGAGAGAGACAGAGCGAGATCACAGGAACATATAAACCTATAAACATATAACATGAACATAGAATCTGCTTGAATTCCTTTCAATTCTCCTAGGCTCCGAAGCTTCTACTATGGTCTTCTCACCTGGGGAGATGCCCTGAGTCCAACCAAACACCCACCCCAGCGAATCCTAAACCCCCAACCCCCAAAAGGAAACCTAACTGGGAGCCATCCCGAAGTGAACGGATGGAGAGTTCCCTATCTTAGGGTCTCCTGAGAAACCTGCAATCAGGGTACTCGAAGGGGCTAGAATATAGAGACATCCCCCCCTCCCATGTATGCGCAGCGACGCCTCCTCCCCCAACTCGAGACGTTCAGACCTGTAGCACTTTCGGGCTTTGGGCATGGAGGCTTCAGGGCCCTCTGAGCTTTTCGGGCCTGAGGTCGGAAGTGAAACGAGACAGGGCTTCAGAGCATGAGCTCATGTGCACCACGGCGACCTCGGAACCCTCCCGTGAACAACCCTTCATACCCCCTCAAAAACCCCCAACCCTTGAAAACCCCTTTAGGTCAAAGCCGGCCCCCAGGGCTTGAGTGCCGGACTCCAGCGCCATCAGGGCGTTGCGCAGCTCCTCGGGATCGTCCTCGCACTCTGGGCATCCGGCATTGACGGCGACAAGGGTACTAGTAGAATTCTCAAGCTGAGGCTTTGCAATTTCAGGACTTCAAGGTTTAGGGTCTAGGTGGCAGGGTGCCTTGGTACGGCGGTGAGGGCCTTTTTGTGCTTTAGCCAAACATGGTGCCCCCAGAGGCTTTGCAAAGAAGACCAGACCCTGAGACCGGCCAGAACTCATGCCGCTGCTGATCTTGGACTCAACACCGCCCGGTCACCGCCCCCTTTCCCATCCAATTTTGAGCATCATCACACATCCTCCAGAGTGCCATACCTCGAGCCCTAAACCCTGAAACATGGACCGTGAGGCCCGGGCCTCGTCCGCAGCCAAGGCGGCTCTCGCCATGCCAGCAGCTGTTGAGGCCTTGCGCAGGCACAAACTTCGCACCCAGTCTCGGAGACCGCTGAGCCCCTTCAATATGGAAGTCTAGGCCGACAAGTTCGGTATACAGCTGGCCTACAGTGCCTACAGCTGCACCGACGTACCCTGAAAACACCCCGAACTTTGGGCAGATCTCTGTGTCCGGATCCGATTGAAGAAGTTTATAGCAAGGAAATTTCAGACCTCCCTCTGAAGAAACGTAACACACAAGTGGCGGCCATTGTCCGACCAGTGGCACGCCAAGTAAGAACTTCTGCATCCTGCCAGCTGTCAGCATCGCTGCCGATGCCTGATTCCGGTTAGGGTTTAGGGTTTAGGGTTTAGGGTTTAGGGTTTAGGGTTTAGGGTTTAGGGTTTAGGGTTTAGGGTTCAGGGTTTAGGGTTCAGGGTTCAGGGTTTAGGGTTTAGGGTTAGGATTTAGGGTGCAGGGATAGATATTCAGAAGATGCCAGGAGAAAGGTACAAGTACGATTCAAAAGGCCTGTTGCAAGGCCTGTTGCAAGGGTCGACCACCACACTGCACACGGAATCCATTACAGAATCGCTGCCAAGGTGCAAAAAAAGCATCCCCTAAATTACTAAACCTCCAGAACCTCTAAACCCCCAAAGCCTTAAACAACCCCTGAAAGTCCTAAGTCTTAGCCCCTCAACACGGGAAGGGACACACGCCCCCCACCCCTCACAGAGTCATTCTATCATCAGCAGTTCCCTTCTACATCCTGAATGCTAAGCCTTACATCGTAGCTTGCTATAAATCATAGGTCTCTGTCTGCACATGTCCCTCATACCTTCAGGAGCCCCCCACACCGAGGGATTTCGGCCCTCCGAGGTGCAGGCTTCCAGCCATCGAAGCCTGGTCGGGCTTTTTGGTGGGTTGGGGGTTGGTTTGCGGGCTTCGGGCTTGGGGGCAAGGGAGTTCAAGTTCAGGGTTTGGGCTTGGGCCTTTGTGTGTTGCGGCGGTTTCCCTTCCATTGAAGGGCTGCAGGGTTTGGAGCTTCAGGGCTTAGGGCTTAGGGCCCTTAGATGAAGGATTTAGGGCCTGTGATGCGAGTAGGAAGTGGTGGTACTGCTGTCCCGTTCTCTTGGAAGCACGGTTTTTCAGTTTTCCAAAAAAGGCCTCCTGTGGTGGAACGACTTCTTTCAACCCTAAACCCTTTAAATCCCACAAAACCCCATAAAACCTACAAACCCTATAAAACATCCCCAAACCCAAAAGCAAGGAGGACAGCATCGGCGCATACGCACCTCGGCTTCACTGACGTCATCGGCCTGCATGTTCTGCACAGTCGGATGAGGGATTCGTTGCTTGAGACATTCCAGGCTTCCGGGGCTCCGTGGGCGCACCCTAAACCCTGAAAGAACTCTAAAACCCTTAGAGCCTGAAGCCCCCAAGCCCTAAACCCTAACACCCGAAACCCTAAACCCTGAGTAGGTTGAGAGGTGCCTCTTCGTATGGGCTGGCCACAAGGGCTGCGATGGAGCTGCTAATCGCCAAAGCTTCGGCCTTAGCCGCTGAGGAGGACTTACAGGTTTGGGGGGGTTGGGAGGGGAGTTTTTTTGGGAGGGAGTTGTCTTTTTTGGGCGGAGGGGGGGGGGGGTTGAAGGGCAAGTTTCTTTTTGTTGGGGGTGGGGGGGGGGGAGTTTTGTGGGGGGAGTTTTGGGGGTTGTGGGGGGTGTTGTGGGGGCTCCAGGGCAAAGGGAGCGCATTTTTTGTGAGGAATACAACACTCACCGACTGGCAGCAGCTTGTGAAAAGGCTTGCGACCGCTATTGGATCGCCGCCAAGGCTCAGCCACCGACACGATTCTGCGCAAATCCCCAATGCACAGCACGTTCTGCCGCCGGCGAAGTTGTCACTCATGCTCAGTCAGCACGGCTTTAGCCGCTCGGAACAGCTGACATGGCCCGTCTGTCTTGAGTGACTTCAGATGTCTGCTCAAGCACTAATCAGTCTCGCAGGGTGCGCGTTCTCGGGCGCGATGCGATGCCTTTGTCTAGGCTCGCGATGCCAACTGAAGATCAAAGTAAAGGCAAAAGAGCTCGTCTAAGACAGTGACCGATGGTCTTGGGAGCACCTCAGATTGCTCTAGCCTGCTCTAGCTATGAGCTGAACACTAGCAGGACCACGTCGAGGTCGGTGCTGACAACTCGCCCCTTGGCTTTGGCAGACGTGGTGGCCGCGTTCGTGACTTGCACCTTGTGGCGGAGCCCGGTAAAGCATTCCCGAAGCTCCCCAAAGCAGCCTACCAAAGCAACCTGCTCACATGCCCTGAACCTCGACGGAATGGGATCATCTGGGGTCCTTGCCCTCAGCTCCGCAGCCAGGGACTCCAAGTCGCTGCGCAAGTTGCGCAGCAGCCTCCGCAGCTTGGCTATGTATGATATACAATATTTGTCCCACATGTTGTTCATAAACCGTAGATTATGGGCTACAGCGGCTACAAGTTATGAACTATGTTAAAGTTAAATCATGTACATATCGTTGTGGCATTGCAAGCCCACGTGCCTTCCGCGATTCAGCTCAGCCTCTGTAAGCTGGCGAATGGCTGCAGACAGCTCTGTTAAGTCCTTTGATGCCCCGCACGAGAACAGAAGCTGTCTTCCATTTCAGTGCAGACCGGCAGTCCTTGAGAAGGCATTCCTCCTTCTGGACGCTGGTGGCAGGCTCCGCAATCTCCTCGTCACAGCGACATGTCTACACAGCGATGTGGTGCATCTAAGCCAACTCATTGCCGCGTGCGCCGGAGTCCTGGTAGTGTTGCAAGATGGCGGTCGCACGAGACCGAATGGCATCCTCGAGGTCTGAAGATTCCGGGGCTGAGGCAGCCAACTCCTCCCTGTCCCCTACTTGTCCGTGCCTGAAGCTCTGATTGAAGAACCTCAAACTGGCCATCCGCTGGCTTTGGACTCGGCAATCGGCGAACAGGTTCTCAGAAGGCTTCGGAAGCACGAAGAAATACGAAGAACGACCGCGGCCTTCTCAGAGCCAGGCTCCGAGCAAAAGTACCCTGCCCGTTCAAAGACGTTGGCCTGCAATGCGACACATGACTCACATGACCGCCTGCAGCCTACTGCGGCCTACTCAGGGCGGGTGTGCTATGTCGGGTGAAGACCTGGAATCAGTTCTTGGGCACCCGGCAGCCGAGCTCAGAACGGATCCAGCCATGGAGCGCACCGCATGGACAACCTGGCTCAAGCACACGGGTTCACGAACAAACGAATGCACCGGAAAGCAGAGGAAAGCATCTGCGAGCCATCCCTACTGCAAAATTCAAAAGACCTGCTCCCCCCCCTTCAGCCTTGCTGCGGCTGGTGTCAGGTACCGCCTTCGGCTTGGCACGGCGAGGGTTCTTCGGCGAGGCGCGGCGGCCCATGGGCTCTGGGACGGCCTTCGGATTTGGGAGGCCTGGATCTCAGCTGCTTAGCAGCACGTCACAGCCTGCGAAATCACTACGAGCTGAATTCGCTGTGCCGAAAGCGCGGCATGGTCCGGAAAGCTTTGGTGAGGAAATCAATGATTGTCAGAGGCTTCCACTCTCATGCACACATTGTCAGGGTTTCCAAGGCACCCGCGAGTGTCATCCGCCTCTGAACTTCCTGGAGCAAGGTAGAAGAAAGCAACTGAACGGATGCTGTCAAGATCTGTAGAGGCCTTCTGGAGAAGACCATCAATGGCCGCAGCCACGTCCGCAGCGGTCGAGGACTCAGGGATGACTGTGGGAAGGGAGGGGGCGTTTATCCAACCCGCATAGGCATCGACTGCCTTCCGCGTCAGTGTCAGAGCATCCGAGACGTGCTCGCAATGCAGGGCAGCCACATCAAAAGAAGCACTCTGTGGCCAAGGACGCCACACGCCTCCATATGCCATACGCCAAGCGTCTGCACATGCAGCGAGACTGAGACTCAGTCCGGAAGGTCTGGAGGCGCATCCTGCACGTCGCATGCAATTCAGGCTGCGGGAGCTGTCTTCGGGGCACATGCAAGGAGCACGCAACGCACAAGTTTGCTGAAGAGTTGGGCCACTTTTCTGCGGCAACTTACGGCTGGGTAAATCCTTCCATCCCAGAGATGTTCTGCAGGAGCTGGGAGGCCGCCAGGGCCGCCAGGGCATGCAAGGCCCATGGTCCGAGGTGCAAGGTGCCGCTCCTGCAGGAAGATCTCCATTGATGTCCGTTGGTCCCCTAGGGACCACACAGCAGGAGTAGCGCGAGGTCGTGGAGGGTGGTGGACATAAGGACATGGGCTCTCATCCATTTGCACCTCTTCAGCTCGAGTCTACATCTTTTTGGTCGGAAGAAGAGAGTCCCCACCACGGGAAGCATCGATGCTGAGAGAGCTCCGCAACTGAGTCACAATGGCTCCACCTTGGCTACACCAACACATTGGCTGGACGCAGCCGTCGCCTACATGCGTTGTTGCAATAAACTTCGCCTCCTGGGTTTACACTCCCCAATCGTTTAGGCCCGGCAACTGATCCACCAGGACCCGAAAGCCAGGGTGAAAGCTTTGCGGCGTCCAAGTAGTGACACGAGCGCCACCACCTGCGCAATCTACAAGTTTGGACTCAGAGCAGGACCCATAAGGGCCAGATGGTCACGCGAGGTCACAAGGACGACGCTGTCACACTGCAGCCAGGATGCAATGCTCGGTCCCAGCCCCTTGCCCAGATCGTCACACAAGGTAAAGGCTGAGAAGACGGTCCCCCGGCGCTCCGACGGGTTGACGTTCATCAGCACTGCCCGGATGTTGGGCCCTGAAACTGTGGTTTATGACACAAGGCCGAAGGGGTGGTGGCCACACATAGATGGACCGTACTATGTATGCAACCGTTTCAGCCCACATGGGTGCTCACAAGGTTCGCCTGCCAGCGCCGCGGACCCGCCACACAAGGCCAAGAAGAATGCAAAGAGCGTTGGCCGGCCCGACGCAGTGGTGATCAACGCCTGAGAGCTCCCGACGTGCCCCATGTGCCCAGCTCGCAATTGTCGATATGCAAAAAGATGCAAAAAGACTTGGCGCCTGCGAGGAGTTCACAAGCAGCATGAACGGCAGCGGGGCCACCTTTATCTGCTCTGCACGGAGACTGAAAAGAAAGGGCAACATGCTTGTGACATGCGCAGACTGCCCATGATCTGATGATCACCATGCAATGTTGGCTCGCCGAGCGCGGAGCCAGCATCCCGGCGGCGGTGAGAAAGCAGAAGTGCTGCATCTTCTTCTGCCTGGTCCACGTCGCCCACGCATCAAAAGAGAAGCAGAGTGTGGGGAGCAGATGCAGGACATGGACAAAAAAGGGACTCAAAAATGGACTGAGGAGCCTCTGGTTCCACAGGGACTGTCCAAGGATGCCTCCCGTGATCCCGAAGCCCAAGCAGCTCATGCCGAAGACCGCCGTGACGGCAGTCGAGGCCTCGCCCAGGAGAAGGGGCTCGCTTTCTGGTGCTACGGTGAAGGTACGGTGAAGGTACGGTGAGGGTGAGGGTCATGTCTCGTCATCTTCATCTTATGAATCAGCGGCTTGCTGGCCGGGGGACCCTAACATCTCAGAACACGACCTCTGCAACTTCCCGTGAAGCATGACGAAGCCCTGACCCGATCAACCCTCAACGGTATTGCCGACGGTCCTCCACAGCCATGCCCTGGTCCGTCGCCAGGTAGTCCGCCAGGAAGGTCACGATCACCGAGATCGGAATGCAACCAGGCAGTGCCTGGGTTTGAACGCCGGCAGTCTTAGGGTTCGCAACTTGGGGAGGTTTGAGATGGACTCAGTGACTCTTACAACCCCTTCCCACGGCTGGCCTGCGCAAAGACCAACATGTTGGACTTGACTGCAAAGACCTTTTGGAACTTGGTGAGGTCCTTAAGTCAGGTGACGTTTACCAGAAGCTCACGTGGTTCAGAGGCCTAGAGCCCTAGAGCTTGAGGCTCCGGCGAGATCCTCCATACTGAGCCCCTCTCCACGAATCTCTGCACCACCCATCCACGCAGAGAAGGCCTTCTCCAACACACAGGCAGCAAGGGGAGGGCAAGCACACCCACGGAATCCTTACACCACCGCTACAGCGACGACGAAACGCACCGTAGATTGGGTCGGCCTCGTTGGTCACCACCTCCTCCCGCTTGGCTTTGGCCTCGTTGGCGGCAAGCATCTGAAAGCATCCGCTCTGAAACTGTCCCCCTCTCTACGTCCCCTCTACGGCCCCTCTCGTCCCCTTCCCCTCCTCCCCTGCCTTCTGCTGGGTCCGTGGATCTGCCAGGAGAAGGCGGACGAGAGCCGCACAGACCAGGGTGGGGAGCGCCACGATGGTGAAGGGCATCCTCCAGCCTCGAAGCTGAGGCAGTCGTCCACATCTTTACTGGCTCCAGTGGTGTTTATGTGGAGTATGTGGAATTCATAGATTCATAGCTGACCTATGCAGACAAGGGGCCATAAGATGGGCCCACAACCCCTGACCTTTGCAGTGACGAAGCAGACTTCAAATCTTGCGGTTATCCACACTTTGAGTTTTAGCCTCCACAAAGCAAGAAAACAGAGGCAAAACAGATGCTCGCTCTGAGGTAGGCCGCATGAGGCCTCCCAATGCTGCACCGATATTGCCCGCCGCATTCAGGGCTCCGGAGATCAGCGCACGCTGCGATGCGGGAAAGACGTCTGCTGAGAAAGCAAAGAGGACCTCTCGAGGTGGCAAATGGACGATGCTGTTCCCAGCTTGGGTTCTCGTGCAGCCGAAACACAGGAAACGAGCCGCCGATTGCAACCTGCGGAGATGAGACGGGACGAGCTAGGGTGTCGCTGCATGCTCCTGACATGCACCTGACGCTGCGACTGAGGAGGGTGCCCCTGTGCATATCCTTGCCATGAAGAAGTAGAAGAAGCCCGCCTAACAGAATGGAGGCTGAAACCATCTGAAACCTACACGCATGCGCACACACTGTGCTTCTGTGCTGAAGCGCGAAGGACGAAGCATGCCCCAACCTTCGTAGATGGAACCATGAGGCTCATCAGCAGCGATGGGATACAGCCACAAAGCACGACACCGCAGAGGACGTTGATCCGGTCAAACTGGTCTGCAGCGGGTCCCACCAGCACGGAGACGGCACCTAAAAGACTTTCCAAGGGGGGCATTGCGGTTCATTGCATACAGGGCAATGGCTTTGGGTTTAGGACTTAGGGTTCTCAAGAGTTTGAAGGACTTAAGGTGTGATGCAGCCAAGGTTCCACCGACCAGGAAGAAGCCAAATTGCACCAGGCCACCAAGACGCGAGTCCTCCGAGGTCCGAGGGCCCCTGGTCCCCCAACCATGGAACAAACAAATTGTAAAACCCTAAACGTGGGCCCCCAAGTCTCGCAGCGAGCCGTCCTTCTGCATAGGCGTCATTTCAAAGTCGTTTGCAATCTGTGACAGGTTTGGAGCCGCCAAGTTCTGGTCGGCATGAAGGCACATTGCCGTGACGAACAGCAGCACGAAGGTGACCTTCCGAGAACTAATTACAAGCAGACACCAAGCAGCTAAACAGCTGATGCACAGAACCTCCACATTCAGCTTTACCTTTACATCGTATCGAGGCTGGGGTGTTCGGGACCTGATCCTGGCTTCTGTGTTGTCAGAGTGATGTAGTTCCCTTTGTGCAGGCCTGGAGATCTCGTGGCATCTGTAGGATGCCGCCGCCTTCATCCTTGACCTCCCTGCCATGATGGGATGCCTTGGGCGACCACGGTGAGTCACCGTCCTGCCCAGGCCCACCTCATTCTGCCCGAAGAGTAAAAAAGGCTCTGAAAGCATGAAGATTGTGTGCTGCGGTCCAGCTTGCAAGCTTACCTTGAGCACTACAACTGCTCAGAGTTCCAGGAGCGCAACACTGACAACTTGGAAGCTTACACAGGGCCCACCCGGGGCCCCACCCCGCCCCTTCTCCAAAACTGTTGGAAACCGTCTGTCTGCCGTGCTGCGTCTTGACCGCAGATCCGCTTGCGCGTATGCCATGGCGCCACATTGACCCCCGCGAACTTCTCGGGCCTTTGGGCCCAAATGCTGGGAGATGCCATCGACATCGACCTCACTGATCCACGGGAGGATCCCAGACTCTTCACTCTCCCACTTGCACTAGGCATAGCATAGGCATAGCAGTGGCATAGCAGGCATCCGCTCAGGGCTCCTCGCAGATCTTCCGCACGAGCGCAAGCTGATTGCTTGCCTCTGAGCTGAGCTGTTGGGAGCTTTCTGCCCCAAAAGTTTCTCAGACGGTCTCAAGCCAAGGCCTCGAAGGGGCGGCGCAGCGCGGCGACCTCGTAGACCACGGCGCCTGCCCCCGACTCACGTCTGGTCACGTCTAGTCTGCCCACGCAAAAGCAACCCCCCTTTTTTGGGGAGGGAGAAAAAACAACAAAAACAAAAGACCCCCAAATCCACCTAGTGCCCAGCCATCGGCAGCAGATCCATACCTTGGACCGGATCATCTTTGCGAAGGCCAAGCGGAGAGTCGGAGAGCCGGAGGGCCTAGGGCCCGAGCTCCTCGCCCGAGACGAGCTCAGGAGCAAAGTAATACGGCCTGAGAGTTCCATCCCCAAACGGATCCAAACAGACTCCAAAGATGAGGAGAATTCAGAAGAGCTCTGGGTGCTGGACGTACCTACGAGGCTGTGTGCCTTGAGGGTTGTGGCTTCAACGAGCTTGGAGATGCCGAAGTCAGAGATTTTGATTCGCCCGGATCGCCTGGAGTGACAAGTCCAAGGACGACCGGTGCATGTCAGCACACGTGGGTTGAACAAATCTGTCGTGCCTGGAGAGGAGGATGTTTGCAGGCTTCACCTGTCCAGGGCTCTCGCATGACATGCGCAACATTTTCATGGGACTACGTGCAACATCAAGCGGCATCTCGGTGCAAGATGCCCACGCTGTGTATGTACCTAGGTTCTTTGATCGCTTCGTTGAGCACAGCAGGGGTGTTTAACTTGCGCTGAGGAGCTGAAGTGCACCACCGACTGCCGCGAGGACTCTGCGAGGAAAGTGGGCATCGAAGCCGGTCCCGGCCTTTCATCGGCGGGTTTGGGGTTTAGGGTTTAGGGGTTTAGGGGTTTCGGGCTTGGGGTTTAGGGTTTAGGGTTTAGGGTTGAGGGTTGAGGGTTTAGGGTTTAGGGTTTAGGGCTTAGGGTTTAGGGTTTAGGGTTTAGGGTTTAGGGTTTAGGGTTTAGGGATTAGGGTTTAGGGTTTAGGGTTTAGGGTTTAGGGTTTAGGGTGCACTTTTAGACTGCGCACTTGACAGTCGGGATGACCTCTCTTTGGCGCTCGATGAGGCCATGGAGATCACCTCCATCCATATACTCCAACCTCAACCCAAGTGAGGTCCGAAAGAGGTGCAAAAGAGAGAGAGCGAGAGAGAGAGAATGACGAAATCCGGGCGAAGGAGTCTCTGCTAGAAGAATGATGATGAAAGGGCTCTGATAAGGGGGGCCTTAAACGGCCTAAAGAGTGCCTTTGAAAGCCAGGTCTGAGGATGGGGCACAAGGCACACCACCTGCCTGACAGGGCAGAGCAAGAAGATTGACTCACCGGAGGTGCAGGCTTTAGGGGGTTGAGGTTTCGGGGTTTCCGGGGGGGAGCGGCTACCTGTGGGCAACTCACATGCCGGTGCGGCCGATCCATGTCGTACAAGACATCTTCGCAGCTGACCTCTGAGTTCCAGGACATGTCCCTTCGACTTACAAAGTCTTCTGATTGCCTTCCCTCCTCACTGGCCCGAGCTGCCAGCAATGTGTGGATAGCGGAGCTCCTGGCCCAGGTTGTGCTGAACTTCGGCACACGAGAGCTTGGGATTCGCAGGATCGTCGCTTGCGTTTTCGGGGCTGCACTGTCAGTTGTTCAGAGAAAGAGTGATCGCTCAGTCCTGAAGCAGGGCCGCTTCGGCCAGGGCAGCCTCACGACACTCAAATCTGGACCTAAAGCTCATAACGTGGCCTACCAACGGACATCTGCGAAGGAGCTTCAGCGGGAAAGGAGAACCATTACAATCCAGTAGGCATTCGCCATCCTCACCACGTCATGACGAAATCGAAACTGAAAGTGAGCATTGAAGCAGGTGGCCAAACCAGATGGCAACTCCACCAAGCATGGCAACGACGGCGATGCAGCAATGAAAGCACTTGAAGCTACTTCACCCATACCGGCGGTGACAGTTGGCACACTCACAAAGGCTGTGAAGCACAGGGCCAAGCAGGCTTCGGCTACAGAAAAAGTGACTCGAAAGGAGCGCGCCCCTGCAATGTGCAGAGGGAACCGGGACTCGGCTCCGGGCCTCCAAAGAAGGATCCGAGCGCTTGCCTTCTGTGTCCTGGCCGGCTTAGGGCACTTTTGGAAAGGACTGAGCGCGAGTTACCACAAGAATGTGGTCCCGGTGGCTCGCAACATCGTAGGACATGACCTGAAGTATGAGGAATTTTACGCATACGAAGCAGAGACGTCTTCAACACGTTGCCGACCGCGGCGGTGCGTCGAAGAAGCCCCGCCTTCATGGCATACCGTCCCGCCTGGTGCACAAGAAAGACCTGGCAGAGCCGGAAGAGCCAGGCACCGAAACAATGGCTTCCAAAGCCTTCAATACCCCAGCGGCCTAAGAGGGCATTCTTAGATTCTTCAGTTCTTAAGCCTAACAGTGAAACATACCGCCTTGCGAACATATCGACTTTTGTTATCCTTCTTGGAATTGCTGCACGTGCCCGTGCGCTATCCAAGTCAAGCCCCCTCATCCAAGCAAAACCCGAGGGTCCTAGAAACAGCCTCGCCATAGGCGCCACGTCCCAGAAGCCGGTCGATGGTGAAACCACCGATCTGCTCCCCCGCCTGCTCTGTGAAACGACGTGGGACGTGTGGGAGGTGGGGGGGGGGGGGGGGCTCTTTTTGAAGTTCTGGGTTTTTAGGGCTTTAGGATTTCGGGTTTGGGGCTTGTAGGCTTAGGGCCTGTGGGGTTCTTCTGGGAGCGTAGGGCCTTGAGGCTTAGGTTTTCAAGGATTTGAGGGCTAGGATTTAGGGCTTGTGCGTGGTCTGGCTCAGCAGCATCATGAACTTGAATGCGCCAACAACTCAGCCGGATGTGCTCGGAACGCCATGGGGCATGGGCAACATGATCTTCACCCCAACTAAATGCACGCGGCAACAATTCCACGGTGGCAGCTGCTCGAATTCATAAAGGTAAAGGCATGTGTCAGCAGTGTATGGCTACTCCTTGCTACTCCATCAAAGATGCTCAAAGCAAGTGGCAAGTTCCTGAAACGTGAGTTGACGGCTCAAGCTTGACAGCAGTGGCTGTGGCAAGGCATGACAAAACTTGTGGTCATTCCCCATCAAGATGGGAGAGCAAGCCACAGACTTGGCGAAGCCTGGCAGAATTCATGAACGGCTTGCAAAACTTTTTGCCATTTCGGGGGGGCAGCTCCGCCGCTTGCTTTCGCAGCAAACTTCCAGCCAGGATGTGATGCTCCAAAGGTCACTTCCGGCCCATCCAGCCGCCCAACCTGCTGCCGAGGCCACCTTCAAGGAACCAACGACGAGTCCACACTTTACATGTCCGACATGCTGTTTACTTCACTTTGTCGGATACGGTGTGGGGATGCAGAATTGTTTGCTGGATTCTCGGGAATGACACCCGGGCCAGGAGGACCCAAGCGAGGAGAATAGCTGAGTTAAGTTCTGATAACCCCACACCAAGGGCGAAGAATAAGAGACACGCGGCGTGCCAGGAACGTTGCACGCCGCAGTGGACGCTGTGACCCAGCAGCCATGAGCTGACCCCTCTGAGGCAGGAACCCAATGCTCCAGCCACGGCAGCAACGGCCTGTCGGCCTTTGCCTCCGCGCTCGTAGCTACGAAAAACTCCGCTGACTCCCGCGTGTCCATTCCGTTGCCACATGCACCGCTCAACCTGCCTTCTTGCTTCTTCGGGAGAATCGCGTCGAGGTTGGGGGCCCTTTCAGTGAAGTGCCGTCCAGGAACAGCCAGGAACATCCAAGAACTACATGTCGGTTACGTGCGGACATGCAGCTGCCATAACAGTCTCTTTCCAAGGCACTCGATGCACGGGAACGCCAAGTCAAACAGCAAGGGCTGGCAGACAGCAGACACATGCAGCTGCCGAACATGCCAAGTTATCGTAGTACGCCAAGCACGTGCAAACACAGACGGGCGCCTTGCACGGAATGTCTCGAAATCGGGGCGGGAATGTGGCCAACACATCCTCCAGAGCCAGGAACACGTCTTGTCCTCACCCTCGTCACCGGCATCTGAAAGGATGGCCTGCTTTGGGTTCTTTGGCTGAACCAGGTCGGCCGTTTCCTGAGCCCGGACTGCAGATGCGAAATGCACAGGGCTGAAGAGCAACTGCTTGCTCTCAAGAGCACCAGCCTCAGCCTCGGCATCCTTCTTCTTCTTGCTGGCCTAACATGCATGCAAGTCTGCCACGAAACCCCAGAGCAGCTGAAGGTTCACCACGCAGAGCCATTGCACGCCTTGGCCAGCTGGATCAAAATCCTGCAGCGCCAGCGTGCAACTCTCGACCTTCCAGAGCGTTCACGAGAAGCCCAGATGCCAGAGGAACCCTGAAACCGTTTATGGATGTCTGGGAACTCCGGCGGCAGCTGCTGTTGTATGTGCTGAAACAAGCCCTGAAGCCGCTGTAGCAGACCGGACTGCTCTTTGCCCGGAGCCTTGCACAGGGTTTGGCAGATATCGCGGCTTTGGCACGCAGTCTAACTCGTGAGGCCTCGTCGACGCGAGTCATGAGCATCTCCAGTAGAGCTGCGGCCTGCTTGCAGAAAGCATAGACAAGCAGCCAGCCATGGCAGGGCAAGCCGAGGACTTCTTCTGTGAAACCTGGCCTCTAGCAACTTACCCAAAGCAGCATGACATAGGGCCAGGTAGAGGCAGCGATAGTCGAGAATGACCTGAGACCATCAGCTGAGAATACTCTGTATCATGACCAAGTTGCTGCTGCTGACGCACCTCAGCAACCCCAGTTCATCCCCCAATTCTATCTGCTGCACAGCTGCTTTCTTGTAGACGGCGAAGGTTTCCTGACATGATCCATCGTGAATCCCTTGGAGCCCATGGCCAAACCACGGCATGAACTCTCTGCCTCCAAGTCTTCGGAGGACTCGGGCAACTCGGAAAGAGCCGCCAGCTCTTCCTTCACGAGCTCGCAGAACCGCATCCCCTGGCCCGGGTGCTCACTCTCAGAGTTTGCTCCCAACGTGTGTGGAGCCATATATGCCATATAGAATATATGTATATATATATACATATATATATATATAGAATATTTATTATATATATATGCTGTTAAAGTGCTCTTCTTTTGTACATTTCTGTCCAGTTGGTGCTCTCTTCTGATGACTGGGCCTCCTCCGGCCGGCACTGGCGCCGCGACTCAATGGTGTTCACATCCTCAATGTCATCCAACTTCCCCAGGTGGCTCCTGTCTAAAGAGCACATGGCACAATTAGTACGCACAGTACGCGAGTACTGCTCACTCAGACAGAGGACATGATGTGCGTCTCCTTAGCAGAATCAGGTTTCGCTCGACACCTCGGAATCAGTCAGGCTGCTTCACTCACAAGCCAAACCCCAGAACGGCCCTTCGGCCATGGCCAGGCCATGTCACTGCTTCACGTTACTGCTTGGGCCACTGTGTCTCATGCCGCCGAGCGACTTACACAAGACGAGGCCTCCCGAATGAATGCCTGCATGCTGAGCTTGAGGCGTCACAAAGTTGCCCCCCCCCCCCTGGTGCTGTGAGACGCTAACTTCGCTCAGTTTTCTTTGGCCTCCACGATGCGCCAATCTGCCGTGTCGCTGTCAGCTCCAGCAGCAATCATTTCGGAGTGGACATCCTGCGACCAGCAGAGTGTGGGCCCGAAAGTGGCTCTCTCTTCGCTGGCGTCCTTCAAAGCGTCACCGTACTCCACGGACAGCTCACCTAAACAAACCGTCTGCCCGTCTGCACACGAAATCGAACACAAATTGGACGTAAACGATTCAGCGTCTTTTTTGCAGCACGCAGCCTCTGAGTGAGCTTTGCCTCAGGTGAAAGACTTCTAGAACTTGCAGTATCCTCAGTGGTCGTATTCAATCCCCTCTCCTTGATATTACCCCCCCTCACCCCCCAACATGAACTATTCCCAAGATATGACCATAAACTACAGTGGGAATAGCCAGTATCAAGGGGGGATGAGGAGATATCACAACCCCCAAATCATGACTGTGACTTTGCAACACTTGCCTCGAGACACTGAGTGCCTGCATACTCTCTTTTTCATTCGGTTTTGTCGCCTGCACAAAAGGCGACCGGCTGAAAATCCGTGAAGAAAGGCTGGTGAAACTCTCTTATTGCTGATAAACACAGATCTCCAGCCTCGATAACACAGCATAAGTTGGATGGCTCAAATTCGCGCTTCTGAATCATGTAGTGCTTCAAGTTAAGGGTTCAAGCTCAAAGGCGCCGCAACATGAGCAGACTCGGATGGCAAGAGCCTGCACTAGCATCTTGCAGCTGCTTGCTGAGCCCCGAATTGTGAGACAAGATGTTCACACGCCATAGAGGCACCTTTGGCTTCTGTCAGCGGGAAATTTGGTAGTATGCAAATGTTGATTCAGTCGCCCAATGCTGGCTCCATCAGCAGCTAGACCAGTCCCGAAGCAATCTACAACAAGCTCAATTCATCAAACCCCCTAGCCCTAGTACGTCAGGCAGCGGCTAGTTGCCAGGAGCAGCATGCTGCCAGCAATGCCCGACTGCCAAACACCTTGACTTGAAGCATTGATCTGCTCGGTAGTTGTTGTCGTCGTCGTCGTAGTTGTTGTGGTTGTGGTTGCAGTTGTGCTCGCTAAATTGCATGTGCCGGAGCTCGACATAGACACGTTACCATATAGATTGTCATGGAAGCATGTGCCCGCTGTCAGGGTGGTCTCGGTGGGAGTATCGCTGCAGTCGCTGGTGTTGTACACACGCCGAATGATATCACCATCCACCCGGACATGCTTGCTGATACCTTCATAGGTGACGAGGCACAAGCCTAGTGCCTGCTCAGCACATCCTCGTGAGCTGCTGGGGCAGCCATCGGCAGAATCCCCGCCGTAGGTGTCGAAGCTGTAGCTGTCCAGCGTTTGAAGGACGACCTTGGAAGAATAACCGTCCTTCCCCACACAAGCATCCACGGGATTCACAAATTCCCAGGTGGGTGCCCCACTACAGTCTGACGTGTTGTAAAATCGATCGAACACATGCGTGCCATTCAGCTCGTTGATCCACCACTCTTCGTTTTCGCACGTGGGAGGGCCACATGGACCTTGGCACGCTCCCAATGGCAACGCTGCCATTGTTGATAGAGAGCCACACGCCTCGTCAACATCATAATACGTCCACACCGCGAACTGGGAAGCAACGGAACCCGTGATTGCCATTGAAAGCACTGCCCACTGCATGTTCGCTGCCGTGGGAAACCGGACGGAACGAAAAATGCAAGGCCTGAGAAAACGGAAGCAAAGGCAGCAAAGGATCGCGTCACGTCTCCAAGAAGCTTGGGACGGTTGAGTGCCCCATAACGGTTTAGGGTTAAGGGACGCCGCGGGCCCAGCTCCCAAGCCGTCCAAACACCCATCCAGCCAGGCCCCCAAAAAAGGTTCCTTATTGGGAAAGACCATGCCGGATCTGAGGGAAGCACCATACTTTTCAGCGAAGACTGCCCCAGGAGTCTCCTGAGAGTCGGCATCAGCCTGAATAGAAGGGAGAGCAACAAATTACCGAGAAAGGCTCCTTCTCAAGAAAAGCTCCCCCGACCTGTAATGCCTTCGTCATCTCCATGCACTTCCTCCGCAACGGCCCACAGCGCCCCAACCCCCTTTGTAAAAAGGCCGAGTCTACGCAAGTCACCGAGGTCGCCACACCACTTTGGATCTGATCTTGTCGGATGGAATGGAAACGGCATGGGTTCGGAACATGAGGTCTCCGTCTCGGCCCTGTCAAGGGAGGTGGAGGTGTGCTCCAGGTATGGTCCGCAACACACACACACACACACACACACACCCACGCACACACACACACACACACACACACACACACACACACACACACACACACACACACACACACACACACACACACACACACACACACACGCGCGCGCCCGCACGCGCGCACGCACGCGTGCACGCGAGCACGCACGCACGAACGAACGCTCACGCGCGCCCGGTCGCGCACGCACAGTGGTTTCTGCATGGTTGCAGACCCGGTCCTTCGTGCCGTCAGTGACAGAAGCCTCAACAGCATCCGCATCGGCTTGCCACTGAATTCACGCAGGAGGCTCCAAAGCTTCCCCGGCGCACCTTTCCGAGCCCATCCTCGTCCTGCTCAGCCTCTCCAAGGTTGTACCTCTGTGCGCAAGGGCTGGAGGCTTCAAGAGGCGCAGGCACGATTGTTTGCCCGCCTGCACTCCCGAAGCATTGGGGCAAGCTCCTGGCTTGCGTGCTTTGGACCGTCTAGAGGTGAATCACAACTCACGCTTTCGAGGACACATCAGAAGACACTTCTGCCACGGAACACTTGATCAAGTGTTCCCTGTCGCCTGTAGATACGTCCGGAACGCGGACCCTTCCGCCTGAAACACATGAAATCCCATGAACTTCAGAGTTCAGAGCTTCACTGCGAGAGAGCGAGAGAGAGGGTGAATGGTCGCTTCCCTGGAGCCCGCGCCTGGTCCGCAGCCAGGAGGAAATGTTCAAAAAGCTTCTTGCTCCGTGCCAATTTCGTCTTGGCCTGACAGAGTTTGGGCTTCGTGGCTGATGAAATGCCAGGCTCTGAATCCTACGAGCGCATGCCTCGGCCCAGTTCTCTCGTTCGGCGAGCCACGCTCCTACAGGCATCACACTAGTCAACCTATAGCTAGACGATGAACATGATCATGACATGTTACATCATGTTACACTGTGCGGCAAGCAGTCCTGACATCAGAGCTGCGTAAGCCTGCAGAACGGCGGAGGCGGCTGACAACGCTGTGACGACAGCGCTGCTTGCGCAGGCACACGCAGGCACTCCGACCTCTGCCTCCAACTGCGTGCGCTGGTCACAATGCACTTTACATACCTTGCGGGCGCACGACTCTCCTGCCGCCTTCTTCCTTGCGGTATCAATCAAAGCAGACCTGGAGTGACCCCCTCGAGTTTCTAGAGGTCAGACTCGCTTAAAAAGTTGTCCTGAATCTGCCTGTATCTTGCATTGAGGCTGCCACCGCCTCCAAATGCTGCGCATATTGGCATGCTTTCGCTAACCTTGCGAGACATGCCAAGGCTTGGGAGGCTTGGGCGCCGGGCCCAAGTTCAATGTTTGAGGTCCCAGCTTGCGTTCTGAATGATGCCGCCAACGTGCATTGAAGACCTCGAAAAGGCAGACAAAGCATGAAGAAAAAAGAACTCCCAGGGGCTCTTTTTTTGAAGCTCAGCTGTCGCACCGCCGCTGCCGCATTGTCCGCTTTCAGCTGTACCTCCAAGGATCTCCGAGGTCTCGCACCCGACTATCCCCGAGCATCTGAAAAACTTCTGAAGGACACTGAAGAGTATCACGTGGCTGCCCGAGGCTCACCGCGAAAGCCCATGCCCGCTCTGATTGCACCAGCGGGATAAAGATCCATTTTGGATCGTCGAAGTTGTCTGGGAACGTCGCCTCGTTCCACTAGCTGTGCGGCACATGCAAACTTGCAGATGCAACGCGCAAGGGGATGAAACGCCGGCCTGCTTGAAGCGCCCTTTCCCATGCTTAAAGCGCAGCTGGACATACAGCCGCCGGAGGCGGCGGCTGCAGTACTGACGGTACCTCACACCACGCGGCTCGGCGAGGCGAAGCGCTGTACACAATTCAACAAAGTTTTGGATTGCCTGACTCCTCTCAGGAACAAGACACCAGTCATGAGGTATGTGCACTCCGCAGAGCTGTGCTAAACACCCTAGACGTTACCCAAACGACTTGTGTTTGATTTAGTGGTTCGATCAAGGACAAACTCAAAAAAGATGGCTTGCCTGCCATAGGCACAGACTCAGATACAAGGTATGTGCATTCCGCAAAGCCCTGTTGATCACTCTTAACAAGGCAGATGTAACGCAAAGGATTTATTATTGACCTTGTGTTTCGATCAAGTAAACAAGTCATGGCAGTTCTTGCTTTGCACGGCTTCCCATATACACAAGACACTGGTCTTGAGGATTGTGCTCTCCGCTCTGTTGATCACCCTCACCAAAGCAGATGTTCCAAAAACGATTTGTGTTTGAGTTTCTGGTTCGGTCAAGTAAACAGATCAACCAAGTTTCAATTTTGCCTGACTTCCGATAGACACAAGACGCCAGTCATAAGGTGCACTCCGCAGAGCTCCGTTGATCACTCTCCACTCGGCAGATGCTACGAAAGCGACTTGAAATCTTATGACCTCCACACAGCTACTTTCGGCCGCGGTCGCCTTTGAAAATGAGCACCCCTGGGTGCCTCAAGTGATCATTGTGGCGCAGCCCATTGAGGCTACGATGAACCTGCAACGCGGGCAGGCTGTGATACCGTTGCGGCTATTGTCCCATGGAGTGGATGCACTGCTTCTACATGTCGCGTCCTGCACAGCTGTGAGGATCTTGACAGAGAATGGATCGTGTGCTGGAGCCTCCGGCTCCTGTTAGATGCCACTTCTGACAGCTCGCCATCAGAGGGGAACTGCTTCAAAAATGGTGTGTCCACTGGTCTGTCCTGTGTTTGAGCCTCAGGCGCTTCGTCGCTGGCCTGAAGCCATGGGTATCATTGTCGCATCCAGCGCAGTCGCTCACACATGGCATTCAATCTCCAAGATGCAGGCCATGCCGCTGCCAACCAACAGCTTGCCTTCAGTGCTGCCAAATGCCCTGAAGCTCCGACCCGTTTTGCCCTGATCGATGGCCCTCTAAGGCCGAGGCTGCACGCTAGGAGGGGGAACAGATGCCACCGTCTGAAGGGAGTGTTGAGATTACACTTGAAAACCACTCTGTGGCTTGTCCGCACTCTGTTGCTGCGATGCCCTCTGTTGATTTCGCTCTCGTCAGCCAAAAGCAAACCCGAGCTGCAACTGTCTGGCACTCTAACTCCGGCCTCCTGAGATTCCGGGGGCGGAGGCATGCAAAAATCCAAAGAACCTGGACCCTGAGACTGCACATGACTGCACGTACTCCACACCATGGACACCTTTCTCGCTTTTCACGTGCGAGTTGGCCGCATGCGCGCCGCGTTTCGCAGCTTTCTTTGCTGCAGTGCCAGAGTCACTGACCACTGTGTCGGGCCGCCCCAACCGTGGCAAAGATAGAGCACGCCTCAAGGCCTTCATTGGCGGGGCCGTCGGCTGGAAACCGAGAAGCGACGAAGAAGCACGGCAACTGCAACTTAGACTAGCCGTGGCTCTTCTCATGCATCTGCGAGAAGCAAGGCTGAGACCCCCTTGTGGCAGTAGTGCTGTGGACTTGCGCCTTGCTACCCTGTCGCGTGCCGTAAGTGATGCCTTATGTCAGTCCCGGTGGTCTGCCTCTCTTCTCGGGAGATCCTTTCCTTTGGGACCAAGAGCAGAAGCCCTCACAAGCCTGGCTTGTTGCAAGTACTGCTGCGTGGCTGCTACGACGTCTGGGCACTTCAGGCTGGCAAGGTGCCACATAAGTTTTAACACCTGCAGGCCACGCTGTACAAATGCTGCGGCTGCAAGTAAAGGCGTTCAGGCACGCAAGTTAACCTGGCACCAGGAAGCCGAAAAGAAGCAGTCACGAAGGGCATCAACGGCAGATCCAGCTCCCGTTAGGCTCCCGAGCTTGGTGTTCCCAGGAGTGGGGTGACGCGCTCCACCAGCACCTCCCGCACCAATAATCGAACCTTGGCCGGCCATGTAACACACAAAACTCGGAATGCCTAATGTGGGACTGCGAGATGGGCCTCCCGTGCGTTGACCATGGTTAGGTCGCAGAAGAGTGGGAACAGCTCTTGGATGTGCCTTCAGCGCAAGGGGCTTCTCTTATGCCACAAGGGGTCAAGGGGGATGCTGGCAGAAAGCAGCGGTCCAGGGCTTGTTGGCAAACAGCACAGACAAACATGTGCATGTGTCTATCTATATAAGTGTATAGATTAAATTCACATGTATGTATAGCAGCACCGATCATCCGCACAAGGCGTTGGATTTCTTGAGATTGGCTAGGGAGATGCGATGGAAAGGCCAGGGCTGCTCGAAGAGCTTCTGTGGGAGATCCTTCAAGCCCTTCACCACAACCTCGCACAGCCGGGCTTTGCCAGCAGTTCACAGCGGAAACCCCAAACAGCTGTCCAGGTGGAGAGCTGGGCTGCCGGCTTCTGAGATGATGGGCACCAGGCCAAGGACCTCTCTTTCCATTTCCACAATCGCCGCCTCCGGAACAGCTCCCGCGTCGGACCTGGTGGAAGTGAAAGAAAACCATCCCCATGCAGCCCTAGCACAAGAACAAAACAACTGCTCTGTTTGCAAGCGCTGCCCCCTGGTCCCAACACCATATTTCCGGAAAATGAAACCTCCGAGGTTTTTCCTCGAGCAAGCCGCCTGCAGCACCTACAGCCTGACTGCTATGAGGTCTGCCAGGGACCGTGCGCGTCGCGCTCATGCAGAACTTTCTCCTGCGCTTGTGCGTGCCAGCAATGCTATCTTGGGTCCTTGGGGCGTGTAATGCTGCAGCTCGTGATTTGCTCTGACATTTTGAGTTTGTGGGGGGTCGCAAGGCCTTGCTCACATAGTTCTGAAGGACAGACCGGCAGAGCCGCAGCAATCCTGATCGTGGCGCGGTCACGAAGGTTTTAACATGCTTAACAGACATATAACCAACAAGGACGGCATGACTCCAAAGACAGCGCGGCGCAGTGTCTTAAATGGGCCAGGGCGGCGCTCCACCGCTTGTGAGGCGAAGTCTGTGCCCTGCATGCGAGGATCCGCCTGCACCTCGTTGGGGAAGTGCTGACAAGTGATTTTGGGGAGGGCTGGGAGAGCACCCCTTGGATTCTTGCCGCCTGGAACAAGATCCGCAGGGAGCAGCTGAGCGATTCGCGCTCCTGCTTGAACCTGCAAAGGTGCAGGCGCCCCCCAGCGTGGTAGGAGAGGAACAGAGAGCCGCAAGCCAAAGCGAGCTGGCAGCGCAGGCCAGGCAGCTGCTTCCTCAGCACGAAGAAGAAAAGGAAGCTGTGCAGAAGAGCTGCATTACTTTCAGCCACCTTTTCACACGGCCCCCCTTGTTCAGCTTTTTCAGGCCCGATTGAGGCCTACTGGGCCCTGGACATGTCCTTCATGAAGCCAAGCCTTTTGAGCGCTTGTCGCAGCTCAATCTGGCGGTTGAACTCCTTTCAAGAGCCACAACTACTGATCGCACGAAGGCATGGCAGCAAGACACGATGCCAGCCTGTGCGAACTCGAACGACTGCTGCAGAGCATCCAAGAGCGTCATGAGACCGCTTTCCGGAATGTTCCTGGACACGGGGGGAGATCCTGCACCCCCCTTCAACGCAGATCCCCATGCAGGATACGAAGAATTACCAAGGCTCCGGCTCGTAGTGCGAGAAAACAGCATTCTGAAGCATGTCGCTAAGCAGGAGCTGCACAACGCACCTGGACACTGGCACTGGGAAGCCAAAACAGGCGGGCACTCTTAGAGGCCCTTGTGTGATGTTTTTTTGGCGGAGTCCTTCTCATAAGCCGGGGCTCTGTAATGCTCTTATGTCCACGCTTGAGGGATGCTGCTTCGCACTGCTTCAGACGCGGACTGAATTACGACATCCTCCTCGTTGAAAGGCAGCTCCACCGAGGCCTGACATCGAGGGGAAGCCCCGCAAAGTGCCCGTGTACACTTAAGGAGGTGCCTTGTCAACCTCCATCAGCTTCGTGGGCATGCTCTCCTTGAAGAGCTCCAAGATGCAGTTCGTGACCTGGAGAACGTCAGGAACGCTTTGAAAGGTCACTCCACTGTCACTTTCGAGATCCGGGAAGGGGTTGATAGAAGCAATTTTACCACCGGTAAGGGTGAGCTACGCTGCAACGAGCAGCACGTTGTCAACAGCTCAGAACCTGCAAAGCTCGACACTCCGGATGGCGGGCCTTTTGCCAAAGGGGAGGCGTGAGGCTCTTCCCTGTGGAGATCAGCAGCTGCTTGAAGCCCTCCACCCCAATCCGAGCCACTGCCTGGGCAGACCACTGGTGACACTGGTGTAAGCTTGCAGCATCAGCTTGGAAAGTGCTCCGGACACCGAACACTCCTGCCTCAAACTCATGCTGGATGCAGTTCTGGATGAGGCGGAGCACCTGAGCTCCACGCGTCGCGCAAGTGCAAAGTGTCGGCGGGCTTCGCTCACAGCTGCCAGCTGCCAATGACACTGACCGCAGCACGTCCTCCAAGAGGAAGGCCAGGACGTCCAAGTGGGCTTCAATCAGCCTTCCGGACTGCAGCTCAGAATCCCAGAATTCGCCGGAGGAGGACACTCCGACACTCGCACATCTGAGGCCTCACCAGCTGAGTCAAGGCGGCCAAGCAGGTCGGGGGCCTTTTTAGAGGGCTCCGAAGCCCGTAGAGCAGCGGAAGCAAAGAAGCAAAGAAGCAAAGAGGGGCACAGCCAAAGTAGGCCCAAGGCCCCATGGAAGACCAGCTTTGGTTTCCATCCCTTCGGCCCTGACGTCAGGGGGGGAAGGGGGGAGAGCGGGGTTGGGGGGGGAGGGGCCAGGGGTAGGGCTTAGAGTTGCTTTGGGTTCTTTTCAAAAAATCCTGGGCTGTCTTGGGCCTAACATGACTTGAGGGGCGGGCTCTTCGGACTCTCGTCCAGCTGCGCTCAACTATCGGACCCTGTACTCGGGTTCTGCTCGTCAGAGCATAGACACAACTAAGCAAGATGCAGTCCATGTGGTCTGATGCCCACAGCGATGCAACTCGGCTCATCATCGCCCCCGACCAAGCAACTCGACAAGACAGCGAGTGACGGGCAAGAAGCGGCTCAGCTATCAGCTTCCAAACATAAGTTCTTCATGTCACAAGTCGGATGACGAGTAACTCGGCTCATCATCGTCCCCGACCAAGCAACTCGACAAGACAGCGAGTGACGGGCAAGAAGCAGCTCAGCTATCAGCTTCCGAACACAAGTTCTTCATGTCACAAGTCGGATGACGAGTAACTCGGCTCATCATCGCGCCCGACCAAGCAACTCGACAAGACAGCGCGTGACGGGCAAGAAGCGGCTCAGCTATCAGCTTCCGAACGTAAGTTCTTCATGTCACAAGTCGGATGACGAGTAACTCGGCTCATCATCGCCCCCGACCAAGCAACTCGACAAGACAGCGCGTGACGGGCAAGAAGCGGCTCAGCTATCAGCTTCCGAACGTAAGTTCTTCATGTCACAAGTCGGATGACGAGTAACTCGGCTCATCATCGCGCCCGACCAAGCAACTCGACAAGACAGCGAGTGACGGGCAAGAAGCGGCTCAGCTATCAGCTTCCGAACGTAAGTTCTTCATGTCACAAGTCGGATGACGAGTAACTCGGCTCATCATCGCGCCCGACCAAGCAACTCGACAAGACAGCGCGTGACGGGCAAGAAGCGGCTCAGCTATCAGCTTCCGAACGTAAGTTCTTCATGTCACAAGTCGGATGACGAGTAACTCGGCTCATCATCGCCCCCGACCAAGCAACTCGACAAGACAGCGAGTGACGGGCGAGAAGCGGCTCAGCTATCAGCTTCCGAACGTAAGTTCTTCATGTCACAAGTCAGATGACGAGTAACTCGGCTCATCATCGCCCCCGACCAAGCAGCTCGACAAGCCAGCCAGTGATGAGCAAGAAGCGGCTCAGCTTTCAGCTTCCGAACGTAGCTTCTTCATGTGCTGAGTTGGCGTGTGCAGTCCGTAAAGGTTCACATGTTCACCAACGGAATCCTTGCTTTCTCTAGTCAGGTACACCATAGGCGCCAAGAAAAACCACCGATCCGTTGGGCACAATAGCAGGCAAGGCCCGACCTTTGTGAGTGCATGGGGGTCAAAGGCAAACGGCAGCAGAAAAGCTGTTCTAGATTCCTCTTGCCGCATAAGCTGATCTCGAATTTCTGAACACGTCTGTCACCAATCTCGGAGGTCACAACGAGGTCACAACAAGCCCATGGCGCAGAATCGCAGCAACAGCAGCAATGGTTACGTACTTGAACGATACTGGATCTTTGTCATGGTCAGACGAGTACTCATCTTGGCGACTTTGACGGGAGTCGTCTGTTACAGCGAGGGGCAAGGAGCACTTCCTTGGTACTGGCGTTAGCAAGTTTGAATGGTGAGTCGGTCCGCAGCAAGCAGGCAGAGACGCAAGGGATCGAGAAGCTTGGATATGGAGCTTCTGGCGGGGTGGAGATGCGGAACTGTATTCACAACAGCAGATTTACCAACCGTTGCACGGCACTGCCAACAGCAGGATCGTATCAGAATAGCGCATGAAGCTGCAATCATGCAGGCCTTTTGGTCACTTGCCGGGGCAAGCTGATGATGAATGTCATCGAACAAAGGCTTGATGACCTGACAAGCCAAAAGTGCGCAACGGCAGCCTGCTGGCGTACTCCTAAAATTGTCCCCGGCCCCATTGAAAACCATTCGCCAAGAGTCCTGGACAGCTGTTCCGTTGCTGCGGCACTGGGCATAACAGAGTAACCCCGAGAAGTACATGCATGCCGACCCGACGTGCATGGTCCTCATCGAAGACTTGCTTGCCATGCTCACGCAGGATGTCGAACACGCCATTCAGCGCCAGCTGTCTTACCTGAGATATCGGCGACCATTGCTGGGCAGATCTGCTCGTGAGAGCAAAGCAATACCCAAAAAAGAACGAGCTTGGAACTTCTCTGCGCGGGTCGCCCACCAGCATGGAGAGGCCCCGCAGAATGGGGAACCTGGAACAGCAAAGCAGGGAATCCCAAAACTACACGTGTTGCTCCCTGCCGTGGCCCGAGCCACGCAGCAGCCGGGTGGCCCTCCGTCATGGACTGCGCCTCCTCCGAAGTTGGCTCGGAGCATCAAGCACATGCACGTCTCCCACGATATGGGAAAATACCAAAAAAAGGGCTAAACCTTGTATACCCCAAATAGACTATGCAACATCTTCCTCTCACTAAGCTGGGAAATAACATGATGACATGGAGCCATGCGCAGGGTCTCCTGAGGCAGGGAGGTGCCGGAGGGCAGATCCTTTGTCTGAGGATCTGCCAAGTACTCAGCAGCCTGAAGCCACCAGACCGAACTCTCACTCTCTCTCATGGCTCACGAGGTTGACTCTTCAACCATCCTCTACATTCTACCTCAAAACCGGAAGAATTATGGCATGCAATCCCTTTGAACTACCGGGATTCTTTCCAAACGCCCCGTGTCTCTTTCCACATCTTTTCGGAATCTCGTAGAGGGGCACATCCCGTGTAGCTGCCCCCTTTTTCTCAATCAATCTTGGGAGGAAAACTAATTGTTATGTTATGGTGAAATCTTTAGCTTCGCGCAGCAGAAATCGCACAGCCACTACAAGTTTGAAAACCTCGTTAGTTCCGAGGCATGATTGGTGTAGCAGCCTGCGCGGCTGCCTGCCTGGAGCTTCGTAAAACCGAAGAAGCATGTTGGGGCCAACCGACATGACAACATCCAAGCCTAAGCGTCTCAGTTCCCACGTGCACATTTGGATGATAAGAGGGTGCTGCCACCTTGAGGAGGTATCTGATTGCCAGAACCGAGATGTCCTCCTTGACCTGCCGGGGGTTGGGGCGGGTTGGCTCCAAGACCTCCAGCTTTGATTTTGGTCTCAGAGAGCTGCTTTCGGCCTCTTTGGTTGCGGCCCTCTTCTCATCAGCTTCCTTCGGCTTCCTGTCTTGAACCTCAAGGGAAAACAGCGGCTGGCGCGAAAAAATCGCTCGTAGCCTCCTTGAAAAGCGGGGAGCCTTGCACTGCGCGAAGGAGAGCAAGGCCCGGATCCCGTCGGTGAAGTTCTCCAGGAAGACGTGGTAGGAGCCGTCGGCGTTCACCTTCTCCACCACTTTGAAGGCCACCTCCACGGTCGCCTCAGTGAACCCAGAGAGTATCCCATGTCATCTGCCATGTCATTCGTGCACCATGGCATCTGCCTCCCCCAGCGACGGATCTTGAGCAGCAGCAGCACAGATGTGGAGAACCGCTTTCCATCCAGACCTGCTGGCATCTGGGGCTCAGCGGACTTCGGCAACCTGTGCTTCTTCTAAGGCCAAGGCCGGATGCTGTGAAAGCTCGCCTTGCCAGTATTGGCAGCAAGAGGCATATTTCACTGACAAACATATGACTTACTTTAATGCCTTGGCCTTTGTAGCAAGTGTATGGGCTGCGGCGGTCATTCTCTGTCCCATCAGAACCTGAGACCGCGACATCTGCCATGTACGCAATGATGTGAACGAGGTAGTCCTGATGACTTCGGCCGGCGACGGATGAATTGCGGGATGGATGACATGTGAGACTACGATGACTACGTATGCATGTTCCTGCCTTCAGGTCAGATGCAACCCCGGGCAGGACTTAAGGATCTTAGCTACCTTGCATCTGAGCGCTGCTGGATCCGAGGAGTGACTTCAGTAGAACTCGTATTTGGACTGTAGGCTGCATAGGGCTTCGGGACAAAGGGGCTGGGCACGTCACCGCAAGGGCACAAGAAGCTGCTACAAGGCACGACAGAAGGCTCGTTCAGTGCTGTCCTTGACGTCCTTGCTGACAGGTGGAGGGCCGACCTCGTGTGTAGCCATAAGCACGTAAGGGCCTGCAAATACAGCGTGGTAAAGCTATCAGCCCCACCCCGAGAAAACTTCCACGCACCTTTCATAGCTCCGTCGCTGCAGCCACTTGGGGACTCTAAGCCCAAGACCATGATGGTCTCAAAGGGCTTCAGGAAGTCTGCCTCCACCCGTCGTGCTTCTCAGTGAGCAACCACTCAAGACAAGAAGCAAGGGAGGTCCTGGAAGTTGTAGCCCGCCAGCTCGTCCTTCTCCAGGAACTTCATCGTGAGCTGGCGGAGGGAGTCCATGGCCTTGGAGACGCAAAAGAAAGTGCCCTCTTTTTGCGCCCGGCTTCGGCTCTCTTGCTCCGTGCAGCAGAAGGGCGTAGTGGCACACTCGAACGTTCTGATGGGCGGCAACCTTAAGGTCAAGGTCAGCAACATCACTGGCATGCTGCATCGAGGTAAAGCTGGAAAGTAATCAGTTTGGCTATGTGGCCAGCTTTGCATTTGTGTGTTCGACGCTTGCATGCTCTTGCTGTTATCTAGGAAAGCAAGCTTTGGGGTGCATGTCACAACCCATTGGCGACGAAGGTGGCTGGCAGAACCCATCAGAAATTGGAGCAAACGACAGTTCACCTCCCTCCGCCCTCCTCAACAAGGACCTCGTGCCTTCGAGTATGTTCTTCCCCTAACCTCGCCACGTAAATCCATGGAACTCGTCCTACACCCTGGTCGGTCTGAGCGACACAATCAAAACATGTGGTTCTGGCCATCGTGTTATGCCCATGACCAAGTACCAAAGCAGGAATGATATGGAAATTCGAATAGAGATGTTGATGCACCTGCATCCAGGTGGCTTCGACAAAGTGGCTGCTCAGAACGCGCCATATCCGACCCCAGACGACTCGCATTCTGCCCATGTTGAAGTCTGCCACCTTGTTTGCTGGAATCTGAGACTTACACGGTCGACACGCCCAACTCCGTCAGGCTGGTGGCTGTACTGCCCACTGGGCCCAGTTCCTCTGAAACACAACCCTGCCTCCACCAGCTTCTGCAAGGAGAAGATACGTGGCTGATCCGCCAAGGCCAGCTCTTCCTTGGAGACCTCCCAAAGCGGCAGAGAAAACCCGAAATGGAACGAAGACCAGCCCAGGGAAGCCCGCAAGGCCCCCAAGGCACCTTGGCAAGCTGAGTGACGAAGTGGACGACTGCTGGTGGAGTCAGCTGCGTGGACCTGAGCGTTAAAGAACTCTACATCCCTTCTGAAAGGAAGTCCGGCTTCAGGCCCTTTGTCTGCCCTGCCTGTTGAAAAGAAGCTCGATTTGGGAGGCATCGATCTGTGAGGCTATCGACTCTGAGTTGACCTCGATGGTTGCCAGCAGAGTTCACCAAAGTTCTACCAAAGTTTCTCTCTCCGCCAAAGGCGAAGATTCGGACCAGCTCGACATTGCGGTCGTCCTGGCCGATGGCAACCAAGGCAGACCTCCGCAATCTCTGCGAAAGACCCAACCAATGCGCGACATGTCGAGAATGCAACTGCTAGCATCCATGACAGGAAATACCAACAGAACCCAAATTGACAGGAGGAATCAAAAAGGCCACGGGCACTTAGGCGAAGACACGCCCAGGCCATGCGCACGGCGTTTGACAACCTGCACGAGCGGTGCTAGGAACTAGTAACCGACGGCTTCGTTGCTGCATGCCTGCTGCCCGGCAATACTGGCGTTGGTCCTGGTGCATGCGGACTGTGGATCTGGGGCGAAAGTGAAGCACTGTGCAAGTCAGCAAGAGCGGCCTGCTCGCGGATCCAGGGGAGAGGGCCTGAAGTATGGCACTGGCTCAAGGAATGCCACTTCCAGTGTCAAGCCAGGTGCAAAATGTACCCGACTGAGGATCAGAACATCCTCCTCTAACTGGAAGAACTGGAAGTCTTGCCTTTCTGCCGATCACATTGGAAGATGCCACGCTTCTCTCTCTAGCTTAGGGGGCACCTCGCTCCACGAGTTCCAATAAGCTGGAGCCGTTCGAGCTGGGAGATGCAGTGCAAAACCTGTTTCGACGTGCACACATCGGCCAGCAGGCTGGGGGTGGAATTTTGGCATCATTGGCATCATTGGCGCGCATTGTACTGGCATCTTGGGTCTCAACATACAGCCAGGATGGTCCCAGGTTGTTCCCTTCGGAGAGACCAATGGAGAGCAAAGCCTTCACATGCCAAGTCTCGGAGACTCATCTCCCAACCCCCAAGTGACCAAGCTTTCACACTTTCACACTTTCACACACAGGGCAGTGCCCACATTGTCAAAGGCTTAGTCCCTTCCAGCATTTCGCCTTGATGCACTCGATGTTCTTTTGCTTCATTTCCTGTACCGGGCGAGAAACTTCTTGGCTCGGACAGTTGTTCAGCCTTTGAGGGACCAGCCTTGATTGTGGTCAGGTAGGTAAACTTGGCCAGGGATGAGACAAAAGCGTCGCGCTCGGTGTCCATGTCGAAGCGTGCGGCTATCCTGAACCCCCAACAGTCAACGCATCTTGGATTATCTTCGTGTCCCAGCACATCGGCGTCCGTGAATGTCCAAAAGACTGCTTCACTCTAATGTATGATGAACGCGCGCCTGATGCAGTGCTTGAAGCCTTCGATGCAGAGCTCAATGCTCTGAGGCGTGTCCTAGACGAAGCGCTACGAGGCTCCGAGACGCCAATTCTCTGCTGGAACTGAATGTGGCATGGAATAGGCAAGAAGGCAAGGAACCCAGGCTTCAGGATGCCACATGTGGTGAGAGGGCGAGCTGACTCAGGGAACACGTTGCCAAAGCAGATGCGAGGGGTCGTAGACTTGACACGTGTAGCCAAAACCGCGATCCCAATCGAGGCCGAAGGACGTCGGAAGTTCCGGGGAAAGCAATTTCAGAGCAGTGTGCTTTCAGCAGTCTTAGCATGTGCTCACTGCGCCTGCATCTCCAAAAGCACAGCAAGGGTCGCCAAGTATGGCCAGCAGGCAACCTCGACTGCGCGACGAAACTTGGGACAGAAACTGTCACGCACGTCTCCCAGTGCTCGAGTTGAGCCATGTGCTTCGAAGAGCGGCTTCACGTGCTCCACACCTGGCAGCTCACAGTCTCAGCTAAAGAGGAGCTGAAGATTACCTGCAAGAGCCGGCTTTGAGCAACCACGTATGCCGAGCTCTTCCTTCTTGTTTGCATTGCGGCCTTAGTGCCCAGTGAGATGCAGTCCAAGATGGACCTAGCTGTGTGGAAAGTCAATTCTGTTCAGCAATACAAGTCTTCAATTCAATTCGGCAGAGAACTTGTCAAAAGACTCCTTTACAGCAAAACTTCCAAATGGAAGGCAGGGAGTACGATTGCGTCTTGCCGGCCTTGGTCTTCTGCACCATGCTCTCCGTCTCCTTGACGAAGAGCTCGTACCTCGAAAAAGAGGTCTGAGCGGAGATGCTGTCGTATCTAGCTTCGGATTCCCATGATTCCCAGTCCCATGAGTCCCATGAGTCCCATGAGTCCCATGAGTCCCATGAGCCCCTGGCTTCTGGTTGGAGTCCCGCGCTGCTTGCGACTCTTGCCGATTTCTGGCCTCACAACACAGAGTCGGTTTTTCTAGCCATACCGAAGTGGTGGCCTTGCCTCTTGGTCCTCCTGCAGTGAGATGGGAGTGTGAAGAACACCTCAAGATCGGATGCCATCCATGGCAGTGGGGACGAAACTTTCTTGCGGTCAGGGAGCCATCGTAGAGGCCCTCGAGATATTCTCGGGGGAGGTCCTTACTTCAGCAAAGCTGCGAACAGCTTATGCAAGCGCCAACAGCAAGGGCGCAGCTGACCATTGCCAGTCCCTGCACTCACATGTCTTGCTGTCCTGATGGTCATTGATGCCTCGATTGTTCTTCACAAACTCATCCTTGGTCATCTTGTTCTTGATGCCTGCGTAGCAACGACACTTGCCCCAGGACGTGGGTCTTGCTGCGAGGCACAGGGAAGCTGCAGGGATGTGGACTGGAGCGGTACCTGCCTGGATTGTGGAGGTCAGTCTGCAGCATGATCAGTGAGAATGACAATACCTGGAGCACTATGCTGCGGCTTTCCATCACCTATTCATGTCGGAAGGACCTAATGAAAAACCCAAGGGCAAAGGACAGTCGAGGAACAAAGGCGCAGTCTGCATTCGCAAATCGCTCGGGGTTGTCATTGCAATACTTCTCTGCAAACTTCTCCATCATTCGGTCAATCTTCTGGGCCTCACTTACCAGCATGGCAAGTCATGGCAGCGCTTGACCACTGAACCAGGAACATTGCCAGCCTCTCCCGGCAATCGGAAGTACGAGAGAAAGTGTCTCAGGGATCCGTCCAGGGACTGGCCACAGGAACGCCACAGGAACGCCACAGGAACGCCACGGAAAGTCAGAGGACAGCTCCCAATGCAGAGGAACCTGAGCCTTGAAGTCCAGGCCGTCCACGAGTGCGAACAAGGCATTTTTGTTGAAGGGCTTGTCCTCGCCAAGGGCTCCCCAAACTGGGGAAGAGCGAGAGACGGACAGAGAACCACTTGAGTAACATGGCAGCATGGCATAGCATGGCACAACTGGTCACTTTTGAAGGGCGCTCTTGAGTGCCTGAGTGCACTTGGGCACTTGGGCACTTGGGCACTTGGGCACTTGGGCAGGCCTCGCCCAGATAGTCACCAATGGCGGTCTTGTCCAGGCCTTGCTTCCGTATGTTACGCTGCCCGCTTCCCCAAGCGGCTATAGCCCCTTTCAGCCCCCGCTGGCCGAAAAATGTCGCAAGCAGACCGCTCCAAAATGATGCGACTTGTACAGACGCACCAGGCTCCGGACCCAGCTCCGTGTTCTTGAAGAGCGCTGCAAGTGAAGCCGGGTCATCGTTCAACTCGAGAAACAGACTAACACAAAATAATGGACAAGAGTGGAACATCGAGCTTGCTGCACCAGGTGCTAAGATGCTGGGCCGCACACAAAGCCATTCTGCTTCAAGTACTCGATGCCACGCTTTGGCTTCATGTTGAATCTCATACAATCAGACTTCCGGGGGGGCGAAAGGCGACTGCGACGAACTGTCTCAAGCACTAAGGCCCGGACTTGTTGATGCCTATTTGCAAGTCTACCTTCCTTTGCTTCTGCTCTTGAAAGCTGCTCAAAGGCACAGCCTGGCTGAGAACAAGAAAGAAAAGCACAACTGAAGCACAAAACCCTCTGGTGGGTTCACGTCTCCTTCCCGTGGCAAACAGGGCCAGACCCACAGAAGAGGCCCCAGTGCTCGTGGTCAAAGAAACCGCGGCATCACTCGCATCGTCCTCGGGACCAGAAGATTCCAAGCGAGAGACCATGGGATAAGGCCAGTGAAGGCCGCCAGGAGGGTTTGGGGTCCTCCCCGTCGCTCTCGGGCCCGTCCTTCGCCTCTTCGCGAACTACACTGACTACATGGAGCGCACGTGGACGGCTGATAGATCAGACATCATGCGTGCTGGGCCTTGGCGTCCTCATTCCCCTGGCCGAGGACGGGCACCTTCTGATCCTGTCATAAGGCCAATTTTCGCAGACATTCTGATAGCCGTTGATGCCAGCAAGACTGCCTCAGCCATTCTCCGAGCCTCATCCGGAACACAAAGCCCGTGGTTACAGTCAAGCAAGCACATGCAGACACGTGAAAGCCATCACAATGCTTCAAGAACCCGACCCAGTCGACTATGGAACCCATCAGGGTGACCTCAACGTCTCCGAGCTGGGCAGCTTGCTGGCACACAGCATCGAGGGCGCGACCAGAGACTGCAGAGCCAACTGCTTCAGCTCCTGCTCCTCAGCCACGACACGACGTATCACATGCCAGAGCGCAACATCCAAGCACTCCAGACCTGCCTGGTGAGGCTGGATGAGGTTCGCATGCTCAACCTAGTCCAGGAACATTGCAAAATCTTCTCATCCCATGGATCGATCGAGGCCAGGCTCTGCACCGCTGTGTACTTCCCCTGAGCGATCTTGGACAAACAATCGATCGTCCGCTCCTCACCGGCTCCCAGGGCCGTACAAGGACACCAAAACTGTCACCGAGACTGAACATGTCATTCCAAACCATAGTCCCTTTCGTAATCTGTCATATAAGCTGAAGCTCAAAGATGTTCTTCTCGTCTACGTCGCAGTCGTAATTCAAGAACAACTCCAGCGGTGTGGTCCTCAGGCACTCAGTTGCCGGTCGCAGCACCAGCTAATACTCGCGACTGCTTGGTGTTGGGCGCATCTGTACAAAGCTTGTAGAAGATCTGCAGCACCTGCATCGGGCAGCATCTTAGGGGCCTTGGGGCATGCAGAACCTGCGAAAGCTAACAGAAAAAGGGTGGGTTCCCCCACCCTGTTCTTGTGAAGGAAGTCAGAGTTGCCGCTTTCGAGGATCTTCAAGAAAATCTGCTCGATGAACACCTCTTTCTTGGAAGGGGCTCTCAGTGCAAAGAAATGTGGTGTTGGTGTGGCCCACGTGTGCCCTCTCAGCTTCGTGTTTCCCTTCTTTGAGGTCTTTGGAAGTCCCGGGGCCGGCACACCGATTTCATCCCTGAGGTGTTCCTTGAAGTTCGTAACAAGGGACGCCTGAGCTGGGCAAGTTCGGAAAAAGCTGAACGCTTCGTGTGCGCGCTGCTTCATGAGCAACAACTGAGGCCTCAGCGAAAATTTGCAACGAAAGCCCAAAGATCTTTGGTATGGGTGAAACACTGTTTTTGATCAAGGAGTCCTGGGCTCATTTCGGCACGTTCTGCGACGGTTTCCATCATGTGAACCGGCCTAACCCCACATTCGGCCACAGTTGAAGGCAGTCAGGGGACACCCACAAGCTTCTTGAGAATTTCCACGAAATGCTTCGATGACCTCACAGTCCCGTCGCCAGTTGAATTTCAACCCTGCCGCACCTCCCTCCCAGGCTCGCAGCCTGAAAACAGGCCCGGCATTTGAGAGAACCCCCAAGATCAGCTCAAGGGCAATGCGTTTGTTCCTGCTTCGGAGATCGGATCTTCTTCTGACGGGATCACTTATAGCTGCACGGCCAGAGTCCTGATGGCCCTCGAATCAGCCTGGCTCTGCACTGAGTCCTACAGCCCATCTCAGGGCAACTTCTGCATAGAAGCAGTTTCAAGCCAGCTCCTGACCTCCTGACCCTTAGAAACGATGAAAGCTCCGAAAGGCTCCTTGGCACTGCTGTTGATCAGGTAGGTCAGAATGATCACAGAGTCCTGGTTGAACCGAATCACAGCCGAGGTACAAGTAACTGTGGCAGCTGCTGTCCTGGTGATAGATGTTCATGGACTTGGCATTCGCAACATCTGCAATTGCAGAAGATGCCTCAAGTTCTGCTACACAAGAGGTTGAGCGTTTTCGTAAGAAAAGGCAGGTGACCTCTTCCCTGTTCGCGAAGGTGTCCCTAGAGGACTGCGATGCTATCGCTGGAGTGCTTGACACCTTGAAACACGCAGAGAGCAGCTCAGAAGGAGAGATGGGAAGGACACACGCAAAAAATGCAATCTTAGCCAAGCCGAGTCTCCGATGGGGAGGCTGCTGGCGAGGAGGCTGCCTGGAATTTGCAGCTGCTCTGTCGGATCCGGTGATAGATTCGCTCTCCCGGCCTCCTCTCGCTTGGCTCCATAGTACTTCTCAACCAGCGAAAGACGCTCCAGATTGCGATACTTGCACGCATGCCTTGGTACGAAGAAAAATCTTGCCTTGAAGCTGAGCATTCACATCAAGGACAGACTTGTATAAGACGCCAACCCGCAAACCGAGTCCCGCGTGTCGACACAGTAGTGGTTGGCCGTCTTTCGGCAAACAACCTGCTGTCACTACAAATCAACCAAAGCGCTGCGGCGGCCATACCGGCCCTGTCTTAGCCAAGAAACACACCAGCCAAACTTGCCAGGAGGAACCTGCCATTCGCTCACCATGCTTACCATTTCATTCCGCCAACTGCGAGCAATACGAGCATATCGCCGCCTCACTCTTTTGACCATTCTCCTTCTCGTGGTTCCACACCTGCACAGCGGAAAGGAATGGAAGAGATGCTCCGAAGGAACAGAGCCACAGCATGACACAACTGAGTCCGAAACGAGGGTATCAATCTTGGCAGACAAGTAGGACGACATCCACTCATTGAGCAGCTGACCTGCACCGTTTGCGCAGCCCAATTCTGAGGGTGTTCACTTGGAGGCACTTCCAGCCTTTGGGCATTTGGGCCAAGTCTGCGTTGGCATTCGCCTGCCCGGTCTCTGACACTCTAATGGGGGCTCTGCTGCTCTGCTGCCTGAGACTCTGGGCCCCAGGCAAAGGCCGCAGGTGCCGAGGCGACCACAGCAGCCAACTGCTCAGAGGTCGCTGCACCATGCCTACGCAACGGCTCAACTCTCTTCACTCTGCCTAAGCCTGAGAATGGCTCTTCTGTGGCAAGGAGCTGCCGGGAACCACCCAGGACCTCCTCCGCTCGGCTCGACCTGCATCTCGCTGGCATGTCCAAGACGCTTCGTTGTTTTGCATGACGTTCACATGTCTTCACGTGCCTCCATGGCTGCGAGTCTCATCTGCTGGGTGCCGGGCATGTCAGCAGAGCTGAGCTCCAAGCGCTGGGTGATGACCTGAATCGCAGGAACTGAAATCAGTAGTGCAGAAAGCCATTGAAAAGAAGCCATTGGGTCCTCATGCATTCATACTCGCTGGAAGTCCGCGAAAAAACAGGCGGCACTGCACGCAACGGTTGGGTGGCCCTATGTATCCTTTATGGATCCTTCATGAACTCTGGGGTGCTATACGCAGCAAATCGCTGCAACACATTGGCTCACGAATGTGTGAAGCTTCGAGCAACTCTGAGTATGGCACAGAGAGCATCTGGGTCAACGCTGTTTGAGCCATGCGCTGATTCGACTGGCTTTTCGAGTCCTGCCGCTACGCTGTCAGGCCGCCTAGACTGAGACGTGGGGAGCTCCAACGATGTCGCATGTCACTGAGTGCAACCCTTGTCCCGGTACAGCTTCATGCAAGTATCCACCGCCAGCATTAGACTCTGACCGTGCACCTGGCTTCAAAAAGTCGTGGAATTGGAACGGTGAAGCCGGCTTAAACCCAACCAGCATCAGGTAGGAGGTCCTCTACCTGCCGCCTGACCTACAGTTTTCTATGCGCTGCACACATCCTGTCTTCGATTTGGCGGCATACTTGGCAAACCCTGTCGATATGCCGAGAACGACCCTGGCATTCCACGAAACTCCCAGGCCTCACATACCTGTGAAGTTACAGCCGCGAGTAAAGTGCTGATCATATGCATCTGGACCTAAGCTGTGGACGGTTGCACTGTCCGGTGATGCACAGGTTGCACAGAGCCGTAGGCACGACACAGCATACGGTAAAGGTAGAAAGGCAATCAAGGCCAGGGCTGTGTCATCAGCAGACTCGGCACAGTTGCACACAGAGTCCACCACAGCGTCCTCACAAACTACACTTCGACTTGTGGAGCATCACAAGCCGTCACCCAAGAAGCAGACACGTTGCACTGAGTAGCCAGCGATGAGATGCCGCCCGGACTCTGGCTTGAATGGGTCTGGACCTGTAGACGCTGATGTTGAACACCGGCAGTCCACAGGCTGCAACAACAGGTGATGTTGAAACAGCAGCCTTTGCCAGTGAGAAAACCATAGGTGATCTGCTTCTGGATAGCCTGCACAAAAACCACAAGAATGGTCACAGGGGAAAAACATGTTTCTGTGGACTTCACGACATCCTGCGCAACCGATCAAGCTCCCCCCCCCCCCACAAGGTTCCATTGAAAACCGAAAGCCGTGTTTGGCATCTAACATGGACAATGGTAAACACGATCTGAATCACGAGCACAAGCTGTGCCTCCAGGGCAATGACTACCAGTTTTGGCAGACCTTGCCGTTGGCAAATTGAACATATCACCGTGCTGGCTTGAAACAACGCCGCCTGCAGCTTCGCAGCCGAGTTTGAAGGGCTGAAAGAAGTCGTTTGCAGAAACGCCCGCGCCAGAAGAGGGCAAATTCTCCAACCTGACCATGCTCGGCACGAAAATTACCAGTGAGACATTTCTCATGCAGTGAATGTCCAGGCATCTTGCGTTTTCAAGCCGGCTTCGACAGAATCCCGCAGCTCCTCTGACGGCGCTTATGTTGCAGCCCATGTCCACAGAATGCTGTTGTCTGCAACTGAGTCCTTCAGTTTTTTCGGGGCTGTGTTGCGAAGCTTCTCCAAAGCATCTCGCAAAACCTTGGCGACACAAGCTAGCACAAATTGCTGGCAGACATCGTGATTGCCGATGGAAACACCGGCCAGATCACGCTCGTGAGCTTGATCAAATATGACGAGACACGCTTTGGTTAATGCGTTCTTGTTGGGGCCCAAAAACAAACACTCTGCTGCTGAACATGGATCATGGCAGTCACTCTTGCTGTCAACACACAACGAAGCATGAAGCTCTGGGCAATGACCACGAAATCCAAGCATGGCCAGTACTACATGGCACTGTTATGCGAGGCCGTGACAACATCAACCACTCGGTTTTCTGGACCACGCGCTTCGAACGATTGCGATGTCTGCATCATCCCACCAGCCTGGACTGCACAGCAACGATGCTCACGACCTTGCTACAGGTGCCTGTGCCACTCAGAGTCTGACACGTCAGTGAGAACAACATGTTTTGCTGCCAAGGCACCCTGTTCGCCGCAACGCATCAGGAAGCCAGTGCATTGCTGCGACCACAACAAAAACTACCCTGACCGATCTGAAATGGCCCACGCGTGAACATCATGTTTTCCAACGCGTTTCTCCACTCTCCAGAAATATGTTGCTAGACTCCTCATTGTTCACATGTCAGCAACGCCCACATCTCGGGTATCTTCAACAAACCACACAGACAACAAATGCATGTTTCACTTTCAATTGCGATCCGAACTTCAAGTTCCGATGAAATGCCCTGCCGCTTTGTTTTCGTCATGATCATGTCGGCAAATCTGCATACTTCACATGGGCGGAATCTCAGTGTACATTCCCCGAGCCTGCACGCGCCACACATGTGCGTACTCGGACGTGGTGCATGGAAAGACCTTCTATGTTGATCGGTCCTTTTGGGGAAGGAAGCGAGAGGCAGAGGTCAACAGGGCTGTCATGGATGACGTTCTGAAATTGGGCCAGCCGTCCGGCCATCACTGCAAAGGTACATTTCTTTAGAGCCAATACCCTGCAAAGCAAAAAGCTTTGCTGGACAGGGCCTTCCTTACCTTGTAAGTAGCACAAGCCTCTAAGACATCAGCATCTGCTTCAGTACGCAAACGATGGGGCTAAGCTACTCAATTAACACAACATGCTCGCTTCTGCCATTTTCTTATTCTCAAAAAACCTTCAGGCCCGTTTCCCACCAAAACCTGGAATTCGTAACAACGCTCACCATGGCCCCTGGGATGCAGGCAACATCCCTATGAAACAGTCTGCCGTTCCTGCGCACTGCGCAGGGCCCAGGATCTGTTTCAACCTGCTAACACATGCGTTTTTCTTGTTGCTAGTGCCGCGCTGATCTCCTTGCAGAGAATCTCTCGGTGGGCAAAAGCGGAAACTCTGATTGACTAAACATTCAAGTCCAGGGACTTAAGCATACCCTGTAGCAATGGAGATGTACATGACGGGTACCTCAACGACATCTTGTTTCCACTTTTCAAAAGAAGATTGGCGAGCCACTGCGAGCTCAGGAACAAGCCAGTCAGTCACTATCTGCCTTACTGCCTGGCTGCCTTGCAGCAGTAAGAAGTGTTGGCAAAACAGCTGACGACGTGCTCGAATCCAGCTGCTGCACCAACGCTTGAAGGTATTCTCGTACTGTACATGAGAGGCTTCTAAAGCGAGGACAATCGTGTTATGCACAAAACTGTTCATGGCATCAAAGCCTCCAGGCATCTGCTTAATAAGGGAATGGATCATAAGACGGTCGTCTTCGGATGTTGCTTGAGCGCTGCGGGTGTCAAGTTCTGCGACTGTCTTGGCCACAGCAACAGCAACATCGGCGCCGGCCTTACCTTGTTGCAAGACACCAGTGGACGTGCAAAGAAGCAGACCTTGAAAGTTACCGCGTTCCTGACTTTGTAAGCAAATCGTCTAGTAGACCTCGAAAAGACACCAAATTCGTTGAAGGGGCAGAACAGACTTGTCAATGATCATGGTGGTACCCTTACATTCAGGAGACCTTAAAGCCAGGTAAAAGGATGAATCCTGCCAGCGTCCCTGCCCAAGCTCATCCTGCACATGCCATTGGTTGTTGCTGAATGTACAAACCCAGTACGCAACATCTCGCCATTCTCCCTCATAGGACTGTGCATGCTTCCGGATGGCATCGCTGCAATGACGGACTGACATGCCCCCTCGGAATTGTCAGGCAAAGGAGCCAAGCGCCAAACACCGTAGAGAACGCAAAGAAACACCGAAAGGATACATTGTCTTACGACTCGATACCAACAAAGTCGTTGAAACAAGACATGTACAATTCCTAAAGGAAGATAAGACTGCTCTTATCGCAAAAGCCTTTGATGAAAACCACTTCCAGTGGACACCACTGAGGAAGAAGAAGACATACCAGGTCCCGTGGAGGTTGATAAAAACTCTCATCTCCTTAACGGAGAAGACATACCTAGAGTTAAGAACAAAGATCTAACCAGTCTTCCGACTGGTCAGAAGAAATATTCCCTTGGCCTAAAAGAGAATGAAAAAACTGAAACCTCTCAAGGAATACTCAGAAGGAAACGCCGTCACAGAAAAAGACGTAAAAAGAATGCCTTCGTCAGCGAAACCCCTCAAGAAATCAAGTCTTCCACAGAGACCCCTGAGATAGAATTCTCTAACGAAGATGTATGCGATTTTTCACGGTAAAAGCAGAACGTAAAGGAGAACGCTTTCACTACTCTCATCAATTTAGAATCAATGTTAAACCAATTTAGTGCATTCGCACGCAGAAGAAGGCGGGTCCCACCGAAACCCAGCGTGCTCCTGTGCAGATGCCACATGGTCTTTTAGAAACTTTGCACTTTAGAGAAAAAAACGCTATGAATGACGTGCCAAGCTGCCAAGTGTCTGCCGAACAGTTAACTCATCTTTTGAGCTGGTTTAGGTTGCTTAAAAGCATGATTTACGGGGCCAGGTTTGCAAGCCGGATTCCAGTCGCAGAGTGAGCTTAGCGTGATGCCCTGAATGTGCCTGAGTTAGTTTTTGGGCTCGCCAAACGGGCCGGAAACATGCCACCAAAATGGAACGAAAACTGGTTGCCGGGTGTGGGAAAAAACGAGAGAGGAGGACAAAGGGGCTTTGAAGGCTTTGAAGAAAAGAAAGGAGGCTTTGAAGGCTTTTGAAGGTGAGGAAAGGGCTTTGAAGGCTTCGAAGAACTTCATCCTTCCAGCAAATGAGCCGGCTTCGAAGGCCTTCAAAGAGAAGCCCCTTCATAGCTGCACTTCGAAGTCCCTCCCCCCGGTTCTCAAAGCCTTCAACTTCTTCGTCCTTCAAATCCTCGCCTATTAAGCTCGGCGGTGAAACCGGATTCAGTCGCAGTGAGCTTTAGCGTGATGGACCTTGAACGTAACATTATACTTACTGGAGATCCGTTCTGCGGAACCGTTTTGTGTGGCTTTTTTGGACTTAGAAATGGCCCCGGAAAACCCTCCCCTGCAGCTTCACGTCCGTGTTGATTTTTCTTGAAATAAGCATTTTTGAAAGTCTCTGACAGTGCCGTTTGGAGAGAAATCAACTGCAGGACGAGACGAGTTCAACTGTGGTGCTGCCGCAATGTTGCGCGCGACGCTCGAACCCAACCGTTCGAAATTACAAAGTGTCTAAAACACCAGAGTGTATTTAACACAGAAACTTACTGAAGTGCTGTTTTTGATGAGTTTGAACATTTTGGACAACCTACGATTTTTTTAGGTTTTGTTTGTTAATTTGCTTTCAGTCGCAATCATTCCTCTGACTTTGCCGGTTGCAACTTTTGCAAGGCGTGACCCCAGAAGGGCAATCTTTCAGAGAAAAGGGTTGACCCCAAAGAAACCCTATTGCACCAAATAAAATTTGCAAAATTTTGCTTGGGCAACTTCTTGCGTGGCAATCTTTGGAAGAGATTTTCTTGAAGCTGTCTCTTTTTTGGGACCCATACCTTCTCTTTTCGAGCCGAACTTTTGGTGCAAATTTTTTAAAGATCAAGAAATGGCAGCTTGGACCTTTGGTTTTTCAAAACAACCAATCGTCCAATGCCAGACCAACACTGTTCAAGTCAAAGTTTGCACTCAAAGAAAGGGTCAATTGGCAAAGCAAAAAAACGACACAAAGCCAGACCACACTGCGGCAGGCTTTGTGGCGGCACAGACGGTTTGGAGCATGCTCGGTAAGCGCCATTCTGGCAGAACCGATCAAGATCCCGCAGGCTGTGCGCCATTGGGTCTCGGAGACAATGTGGGCCATGTGTACGGCCCCCCAGAAGCCATTGGCTAGAATGATGCGGTTGATATCGGAGGCGGCTCCAGTCTTGTGCGCGGGCGGGGCTTTAGTCGGGCTCGCTTCCTCTCCCAAGAAGTCTGGCAAGAAGTCAGAGTGTTGGCTGGAGTCGTTGGATGCGGCGGCGGCATCCTGTGCGTTTCTCTGGGCCTGCATGAAGAGAACATCTCTGCGGTAGAGAAAGCGGCGGAGGCAAGGCTCTCGGCGACTAAAGGCCAGGCTGCTCGGGGCGGCTTCGCGGGGCACCCAGAAAGGCGGTTCAGTAGTAGGCGCTTGCCCCCCACACGCGATTGGGCGAGATCAGGCAGGCGCTGCTGTTTGGCCGCACTCAGGTGGCTTCTTCCTTGCACGCAGTGTTTGGGGCTTTAGGGCTGGTGAGCTGCATGCAGGCACGTAAGGCAGGCAGGGCCTGTGAATAGGACATAGGCGACTTAAAGGCGAAATCCGTCCGTTGTTGCCTTGGAGGCCCAGTCCGGCAGAATGGGCAGTAGAAAGTCGGGCTCGAGATCTGATCGCCAGAAAGCCTCTGTGGCAAGCCAGCATCTTTGCAGGCACAGGAGGTAGTTTAGGCACCATGAGCTGGCGATGCAGCGGCCTGACAAACCTGTCAGGGTGACCGCAAAAGGCTGGCCTGTGCAAGACGTTTTGGTGGACCAGCATATCCCTCGGAGGGATTGGGCGGTGAGGCTAAGGCTGGATAGGCGGATCCTTTGCCGGTTGAGATTGCTTGCAGGTTGGCCCCCACCCTTCCAGCCCCACATGCCCAACACCCCCCTTGCTCGCCAGGTACCCGCCGCAGCCATCTCCATCCTGGACCTGATCTTCGCTCCCCCCCACACTCCTCTCGCCGAGCCATGGACTGCCCAACGGCCTTCCATGACCTCCTCAAGGAGTGCCGGGTACACGACATTCTGTGCACAGCCCTGTCAGACCAGGGATACCAAAGCATCTCCGATTTTGCCTGGGCCTTCCCTAGTGTCGACCGCTTATCAGCCTTTATCAACTCTCTGCCTGAAGCCACTGCCCAAAGCCTCACGACGGGGGACCTCGAATCCTCCGTCGAGATAGCTCGCCGACGCAAAGCCTTAGACCAGTGCCACAAGAAGACCCAGACGCCTGAAGCCGGCACAGCCACAGCCTTGCCCGCGGGAGCACAAGCCTCAGCCTCCACTCTGCCTTCCCAGCCTTCCCAATGGATGGAGCACCTGCCCCCGCCTCACACAAGAGGCGGTGCAAGATATGATTGACAAGTTCAAGGCCAATTACCCTGGCGAGCTTCTCGACCAGGACTCCATGCCCAGCATTCGCCTCCTCAGCCTGGTGCACCACAGCCTGAAGCCGGGGGAAAAGCTCCGCTGGATCCCCTGGCAGTTGAACAAGGGCACAGGATCGCGACGTCTGTCGCATCTCGCCCAAATCCATGCTGCGCGCCCTCTCTTGGCTCGCCCGAACTGCCCAGATGGAGGCACTCCTCAACATGGTGTCGAACGCCGTCATACAGGCCTTTGAGTGCACGGACCGCAAAGAAGCCTTGCCCCTGCCCATGGCCTGCGTCGTAGCCTGGGAAGAGCTCGTGTGCAACCCGGCCTCAGGCACTCAGCTGATTTTGCTCCTGGGGGCCTTCCTCCTGGCCGATCACGCCTGCTTGCGGTTTGGGGGCCTGCAAAGGATCCGCCTATCCAGCCTTAGCCTTACCGCCCAATCCCTCCGAGGGATATGCTGGTCCTCTCGCACAGGTCAACCTTTTGCCGTGACCCTGACAGGCCTGTCAGGCCGCTGCGTCGCCAGCTCTTGGTGCCTAAATTACCTCCTGTGCCTCACAGATGCTGGCTCGCAACAGAGGCTTTCTGGCGATCAGAGGTCGAGCCGGACTTTCTACTGCCCATTCTGCCTGACTGGGCCTCCAAGACAACAACGGACTTCGCCTTCAAGTCGCCCATGTCTTATTCTCAGGCCCTGCCCGCCTTACGGGCCTGCATGCAACTTAGCAGCCCTAAAGCCCCAAACACCGCCTGCCAGGAAGAAGCCCAGGCCTTCACAATCCATAGCCTCAAAGTTGGCCTACTGAGCGCGGCCAAACAACAGCGCCTGCCCGAAGACGCCCGCCGCACCACCGGCCACCACAAAAGTAGCGCCGAACTATACGGCAGGGACGACACAATTGACAGCCTGTGGGTACAGGCCACCGTGGCCCAAAAGGTAGCGGAAGGCTGGCGCCCCTCTCGCCCAATCGCTCGCGGCGGGCAAGCGCCTACCACCGAGCCGCCTTTCTGGGTGCCCCGTGAAGCCGCCCCAAGCAGCCTGGCCTTTAGTCGCCGAGAGCCTCGCCTCCGCCGCTTCCTCTACCGCAGAGACGTTCTCTTCATGCAAGCCCAGAAAAGTGCACAGGATGCCACCACAGCATCCGACGACTCCAGCCTATACTCGGACTCCTCGGGAGAGGAGATAAGCCCTACTGAAGCCCCTCCCGCACACAGGCCTGGAGCCGCCTCAGACATCAACCATGTCATTTTAGCCAATGGCCCCTGGGGGGCCGTCCACATGGCCCACACTGTCTCCGAAACCCAATGGCGCACAGCCTGCGGGATCTTGATCGGTGCAGC